TTATTTTACATAATGTTGTTTTTTAACAATTATTACGAATTAAAAATACTTGAAACGGAACGTATTTTAAAACACCAATCAGCGTTTAGTGACGTCAGTCCTGTTATGACAACTTCTTTGAGGTTATGGTTGTTAAAGTAAATATTATTTTATGGGAATATTTATTGCGTTTTTTTACATTTAATAAAAATGGAAGTTACGTTTATCAAAGCAGACTCCAGGAATTTACCAAGAGTTAGCGTTGACATGGTTATAACTTTTTTTGTCCAAAGTGCAGAGTTTTTAAGTGTAGAAATGAAAGGGACTAAATTACTACGGTATGTAAAAATCGTAGTTGTTAAACTTCGTCTTTTATTCAGCGGCTTCTACAAATCTTACGGTGATAATGCAATCGGCTATGTCCAAATTAAAAGAGATGGAAAATTATGTACAGTAAAGAGTCGATTTCTCCGGAGCATAAAGTACGTAAAGAAGGTTATCGTGTTACAGTTATTTTAAATGAAACGCAAAGCTTGGTTCAGTCCTACCAATGTGAAGATTGTGCCACACATTTTAAACTTTATCTAATTTTCGACGTCATTCTCCAACTGTAAAATTAAAAATATGTTACAGACAGGTTTTGTAAGTATTAGGTAGGTTACTAATGCGTTTTTACGTACAAGCAGATTAATTAAGCATATAACAAGTATATTCGCCGACTTACGTCAAAGTGATCTTCACAGCATCGAATAATGGTCTTTGAAGAATAATTGTCATTTCTCTTCGCAGCTTGAAACCACTTTTTTTCAGTTTTGGGTCAGAAGTTCCAGTCAAAAACAATTTATTTGGGAACTTTGTTGAAGTAGATTGGCACAAAAAATGAGTCAACACGGCTTTTTTTCGGAATATTAGTGGTATTGTTATGATCACATGATGTTGATGGATAGTCCATTTTAAATTTTTCAAAAAAATATTTCGAAAGTCGAAAAAATATGCAAAAGTATGAAAATTTAAAGCCAGCAACGAACAATTACGACCAGTGACAGACAGAAGTGACGTCATCGCAACCAGAGGTTCGTTTTCGCGCGTAAATTTAAATTGTCAATTTAAAACCGCATTTTTTCCGATAAATCACAATGTTTTAATTTTTTAATATATCTGTGGTTTATTCTACATGGAATTCTTTAAAATGAAAACAAAAATAAAAATATTGCATCTTCCCTATTATAGAAGAGGTTACGTCCGTCTTTTTTTCAGGTCCGTGGTTTCAAATAGGTATACACAGCACAGACAGAATAATAGTGTTACACTTGAATACATCAAATGCAGTCAAGCGAAAAGCACAATAAACGGCGAATCATCAATCACAATTTCTAACAATATGGTCGCTAAATAAATAACTATGAAACAAAACAAAGCGCAAAATAAACACAGTCACAGATTGGAAAGAATTTGAATATATCATAACAATATGAGGCGCTTGTCCAAATTTTAAAAGTATCGATACTTACTTGCCAAAAAGTACTCAATAAGTAAAAGTATCGAATACAAAGTATCGAGTACAAAAGTATCGGTATCGAAAGGAAAAGTACTCGATACCACAAAGTATCGATACTTTTTTCGTGTCCCTACGCTCGGTTAACGCACATGCTAGTACAGACTCGCACCGTAAAGTATTCGGACGTGATCAACAAAAGTGCCTTGTACGAAACAGAATAAAAAAATATATATTGAAAATGAAACCGAAGGGAAAGATTTATAATTATTATAAATAAAAAGATGAAAATGGAAAAGTGTTGTATATATGCGAATTTTGTAATCAAAGTTACAAAAATCGAAATGCAACAAGAATGACTAATCATTTAACGAATAATTGTAACAAATGCCCCGACGTTATAAAATCGACATTTAGTTTATAAAGCATTCTCAGAATTAGATGAGTTGATACAAAATCCAACAGGGGCAGAAATTCTAGGGACTAATTTTCACTCTACGTTAAAACTAAAATATGAACAAAGAAAAAAGATATCATTGTTGATATAGACGTATTTAGATCCTCGGAATCGTGGGGCCATGCTTAAACCTAATGAGAATATTGACGGATGGCAGTTTGTGATAGCAGTCGCGGAAGAACAGCAGCAACCCATAGAACAGTTGATGCAAGAGGTATCAGACTACAAGTGTGGAGCTGGACTTTGGAGCAAAGAATTTGTATGGCAAACAGCCAATAAAATGAGTCCATTGGCATGGTGGAAATTACTTTACTAAAAAACCTATCTAGGGACAATTGCTATTAAAATATTGACCGCTCCGGCAACTTTTGCTGCAGTAGAACGTTCGTCTTCAACCTTTTCAAATATACACACGAAAAAAAGGAATAAATTTCTTACGGAGCGGGCGGGCAAAATCAGTCTGATATCTCATAATTGGAAACTATTGAAAAGATTAAATAGAGACGATTCAAGAACAAATAAAACATTTGATCAAGAAAAACCGAGTACATCTTATGAAGGGGATCGTGCAAGTGATTCTGAGACAGAATCTTTTAATTTAGACTCTGATTCAGAAATATCTGTGGTCGAGGAGGAACCAGAAGTCGTCATGGAGATGAGTGATCATGAAATTTGAAAATATAGATACTAATCAGACCAATCAGACGAATTCTAGAAGATTAATTTTAATTTTATTACCTATTTACCTTTAAGTTCTGTTTGTTTCGTACTTTTCGTATCATACAGTTATGTTTTTAAATATATATTTAATAAATGTCGATTAGATATTTGGTATTTTATTACTATTTAACATAACAATTGTTATTATTCTCTACTAATAAATAATAACTTAAATCACTTATGATAAATTTTAAATAGACAAATATTGGAAATATCAATCCGGGGGCGGAGTTGATTTTTCCAATATATATATGTTTATCATAAGTATAAAAATAACATTGAAAAATGCAAAAGTAAAAAAATCATCATAATTAAATCACATTAGTCTTGAAATATTTCCGAGAACATTCTAGAAAGTTCTCGAGAACATTCTCGTAGTCGGAAATTTACCGGGAATTTATATAAATAACTGGGTTTTTATTAATCCAGTCTGCATATTACGTACATACATATAAACATCTTTTAGTCACATTGTAAATCCTACCGAAAAGTGACTTCACTTTTAAAGTTCTCATAAATTCTCGGTCAGAAGAATGTTCCCGAGAACTTAACCGCAAAGTTTCACCATAGAGAATGTTCTCGAGAATTTAACAACACTAGATGGACCCAGTGTTCTCATTTAGAAATTCTTTTCTTTTTCATAAAATCCATGTTAATTCAACGCCGTCGTTTTTCTATTAGGAGTTTTTTCATACAGAAGGAAAACCAATTATTTTATAAAATTTGTTTATGGAGTTGATATTTTTATGACGTAATTTTAAATTAATAAAATATAAGAAATGCTATGCTGCTAATGTATTCGTTTCCAGTATTGTATTTTCCATAAAATTTTACTTGTTTCAGTACCTACTATAATTTTTCAATTTTAATATAGCTTCCACCTTTGTATGGATTATGTATTTATAAAAAAAAATTACATCTAAAAATATTAGAAAATTAGGGACAGTTGGCGCCCATCTTAGTGGCCTATTCTTTCGCTTTAATTGTTTAATAAGCTTAAAAATGATGCCTGCTTGATGATGATGAAAATGATTTAACTTTATCTTCTTTTATTAGGGCCGCGGTAGCATAATGGTCACTGCATCCATCCGGATAGCGGAGGGTGCGGATTCGAGTTCCGTTTGCTGCCTGGTCCGCGTAGATTTTTTTTAGAAAAAATTCTTTAGATTTAAACATTCAGCAATTATGTGCTAAAAAAAATATAATTTCTATTTCTTCTTTTAAATGTTGAATATTTTTATTTATTTATTATTATTGAAGTTAGACTTCTTTAGGCGCGTTATGAAAAAATGATGAGAGTGAAATTTTAAGATGCGCGCGCATCACTGTAACACAAAATTTTAACAGCATGAAGTTGGTCGCTTTAGCGACCAACTTCATGCTGTTACTTTTGTGTTTACCGCACATTAAGAAAATCTACCAACAAAATAGAACCTCTATTTAGTGGGTGCTAACGACTGCATTGTGAAGGCCTATCAAAAGTATTTATTAATCTGGAACAACGGAACCAAAGCGCGATTCAGGAGACTACAGCGCCATCTCTTGACCATTGGTGTAGTAGAACCAAAAACCACATCTTTATTTTTTGTAATAAAGTAACAGTTATAGGTATTCATATTTATAATATTTATCCACATGTTTCTAGTTTGTATATTCGGAATACGTGTTTGAGTTTCATACAAGTGCAAATCACGAGCTCCTCCGTGCTTCGGAAGGCACGTTAAGCCGTTGGTCCCGGCTGCATTTGCAGTCGTTAGCACCTACCAATCCGCACTGGGCCCGCGTGGTGGGTCATGGCCCAATCTCCCTATTCCATCCATAGGGAAGGCCTGTGCCCCAGCAGTGGGGACATTAATAGGCTGATAATGATGATGATGATGATTATTATTATTTTAAGTATGTTCTCGTTATATTTTCTTTAGACTTGTAAAGATTTTTATTTGACATTGTGGGTTACCTACAATGCGAAGAGATGGCTGCCTTGCAGCCTAAGAAATACTAGAGAAAATTCGACACGGATATTTAGAACCGCGATAGCATAATGGTCAGTGCATCCGCCCGGATAGCGGAGTGTTCGAGCCCCGTTTGTTGCTTGGTACGGACCAAGGCAACGGTGCATTTTTTTTAGTAAAATTTTTAATCATACTTGTCACGTGTTGTCATCAGTTTTGAACTATACATACATTTGAGTGCATTTTTCTCGAAAGCGGTAATTTCGAGTTTTACTTTCCGTTAGCGTAGCAGATTTGTATTTGGCGCGTTCAGCGTACTTCCTGTAGATTTGTCTAGTAAAATATTCTTTAGTTCGAATAGGGATATGCTCTGTAGAAGGAAAATAACAAAGACGAGGTACTGTATCATACGTTTTATTTACACTTAAAGCTGTAAAGTCAGTATTTGTATTTAGCGTGTTTCGCGTGCTTCCTGTGATGATGGCCGGGGGGCGTGGCAGGCGATCGTCGTCGCCTGTCCCGCTCTCTCTCGCGCTCCCTCTCCCTCTCCCTCTCACGCTCGCGCTCTCTCTCCCTCTCCCTATCTCGCTCTCGCTCGCGCTCGCGTGATCGCTCTCGTTCTCTCTCTCTGTCGCGAGACCTTGATCTTGAACGCGACTTCCTTTCCCTGTGAAAAAGGAAAAGTTACAGTTAACGGATTTTGAAAAAGAAAGGCAGACCAGTTACTGGTAAGCCTGTTTGGCCTTCGATTGTAGTGGTAAAGCACCTTGTGAAGGCAAGTCAATAAATGGATAAATAAAAAGGAGCCATCTATTGTTCCTTTTTCTTTGAAATGCATATAAGGCTGTTGCTCCCAATGAAGTATTGAAAGACATGTTAGCGTTCCATATTGTTTTTGTTTTTCTATGACGAGAGAGAGCTGAGCCCCAGCAATGTAAAAACAATAGTAGTTAATTCCGATGAACAGATTTTTGTAACATGTAGCTAGACGAGATACTGAATTCGAATCCCGATTGATGCAATTGTATAAGAGAATTCCTTTATTCAATAGTAGTATGTGTGTGTGATATTATATGATATGTCAAAGTAATATTATAAATTGCAAAGTTATAAGTAAAAAATACAAAATACTGAATACTTACGGATGCCTTGAACGCTTCGGTGGTGGAGATAACGAGGGCTCTCGGGATTTCTTCGACTTTTTGGATGATATTCTGGAACAAGTTCATCGAAAATTATAGACGTGCAGGCGGCGGCAAGAACTTCTAGCAAAAAATTGGTAAGAAGTCAATCTAAATTCTGCCAGCCTAGCATGAGGACCGCGATATGATATATAACGCGTTTTTATCACGCTCAATCGTCAAATTACTATGGAGTTTGACTGTTAGACGCGATAAAAAACGTGATATAATTTAATTGTATTGCTCATGCTAAGGGGACAGGTATCAGATTACTTTATCACTATCGATATAGTGACTTTATTCATACCATATTTATCAATATGCAGTGATATAGTTGAAGTTAAGTAATCATCGCAATGGCCGGTCATTGGATGGGTGACCAAAAATTTATTATCTCAAGCTCCTTAAGCCGTTGGCGCATCTGCACTCGTTAACACCCCACCAATCACACCACCCACCAGTAATGGCCCAATCTCAGTATTACAACCCATAGGGAAGTCGTGTGTGCTAGTAGTTTTAGAACATTAATAGGCTGATGTTGACTATGGCTTATCAAGAAATCTGCAAGACGATATTATCAATATGAAGGGCGATTTTGGCGAAGCTGAGCTGGCTGGGTTGGTTCCATCAACACAAACAAAACGGGCGCCATAAATACGTAGAGTTGCGGAATCGGTCTTTGAAAAAAAAGCTTAATAAATGTGTTTTTTGAATGTGTACGCTGTTGGTCGCGGATGAACTTTACAGAGTTAACGGTTTAGGGACGAACCCTTCATGGGCCTCAAGCCGGGAATTGGCGAGTACCTCTAGAGCTATTATAGGCGGATGGCATCTTCCCTTGGGGGGTCTCCTCTCCATTTGGAGCAGTTAGACCTCAACTAGAGGGCGTTTCTGAGGCTTAGCTCGCGGCGCTAATTATCCGTTGTCGTGGAGATGATAATGATAGTTACTATTGCTGCAATATAAGGATATAGTGTTATAGTTACGAGTACGCGTCGTCTTCGGGCGGGGAGGGGAGTGGCGTCTGCTCCTATTGCTGCAATGTTATAGTTACGAGTACGCGTCGTCTTCGGGCGGGGAGGGGAGTGGCGTCTGCTCCTATTGCTGCAATGTTATAGTTACGAGTACGCGTCGTCTTCGGGCGGGGAGGGGAATGGCGTCTGCTCCTATTGCTGCAATGTTATAGTTACGAGTACGCGTCGTCTTCGGGCGGGGAGGGGAATGGCGTCTGCTCCTATTGCTGCAATGTTATAGTTACGAGTACGCGTCGTCTTCGGGCGGGGAGGGGAATGGCGTCTGCTCCTATTGCTGCAATGTTATAGTTACGAGTACGCGTCGTCTTCGGGCGGGGAGGGGAATGGCGTCTGCTCCTATTGCTGCAATGTTATAGTTACGAGTACGCGTCGTCTTCGGGCGGGGAGGGGAGTGGCGTCTGCTCCTATTGCTGCAATGTTATAGTTACGAGTACGCGTCGTCTTCGGGCGGGGAGGGGAGTGGCGTCTGCTCCTATTGCTGCAATGTTATAGTTACGAGTACGCGTCGTCTTCGGGCGGGGAGGGGAATGGCGTCTGCTCCTATTGCTGCAATGTTATAGTTACGAGTACGCGTCGTCTTCGGGCGGGGAGGGGAATGGCGTCTGATCCTATTGCTGCAATATAAGGATATAGTGTCATAGTTACGAGTACGCGTCGTCTTCGGGCGGGGAGGGGAATGGCGTCTGATCCTATTGCTGCAATATAAGGACATAGTGTCATAGTTACGAGTACGCGTCGTCTTCGGGCGGGGAGGGGAATGGCGTCTGATCCTATTGCTGCAATATAAGGATATAGTGTCATAGTTACGAGTACGCGTCGTCTTCGGGCGGGGAGAGGAATGGCGTCTGATCCTATAGCTGCAATATAAGGATATAGTGTTATAGTTACGAGTACGCGTCGTCTTCGGGCGGGGAGGGGAATGGCGTCTGATCCTATTGCTGCAATATAAGGATATAGTGTCATAGTTACGAGTACGCGTCGTCTTCGGGCGGGGAGAGGAATGGCGTCTAATCCTATAGCTGCAATATAAGGATATAGTGTTATAGTTACGAGTACGCGTCGTCTTCGGGCGGGGACCGGCGGCGCGGGGAGGGGGATTGACGTGCCTGTTCTGCTTCTCGTGCCGCGCGAGCCTCCTTTGCCGCCTACGAAAATAATATATGATCATTCAGTCATAAAAGTATATAAATAATAAATTTCTAATAATTCACAAAAATATTTCGTCACATAATAAGCAGAGATCGCGCTATAGAAACTAAATAATAAAGAAACTAATATTTCTAACACACACCAATGGGCCTGGCTAGGCATAAGTTTTACATTGAGTACTTTGGGACTCTAAAGAATATATAAACTAAAAATCAAAGGAGATTGCTCAGCTTCCATACATGTTTGGCTTAAAGACCAATAATCATGAAAAATTGTTTCCTAGATTCGAAATTATATATAAATTACTGTAGAAACGAATATTATTGACGGACACCCCTGAGAACTTCTAGAAACCATATACACTGAACATATTAAAATAATAAAAAACAAATAACTTTTAAAGTAAACTAGGGAAATCAAGCCAAGTACCGATATTATGGATTAGATTCGAGTATATAGAGCATGTAGATTAACAGATAGTTGCCTGTTTTTAAAGTTAATGCATAAGAGTAACTTTTAAAATCAAGTGTCATTTCCGGTTATAATAAGGTACTCTGTGACAGAAACTGTGTGATGATTGTGAATGAGCCACAGATTAGAGAGAATTTTTAAACTCTCGTTAACCAAAGAAAGCTAAGAGATTTAGGTTCTATAGCCATATATTCAGTAGCTTCATTATTTTTGTTATGTTTTTAAGATAACCATATGTTAGATTTTTAGTGTATCACACCTTATAATTTTATTTATTTATTAATTTAGAGTCAGGGAACGTAGGCCCATAGATAGATACCTTAAAGTCTAACATATATACGGATTATAATGTGTTTATGGAGATGTTTGGCGAAAAATGTATGGCAATAGACTTTATGATGTCGCCTACCATCTATAATAATTGAGCACATTTGCATCTAGTGAAAATGATAATATAGTTGTGGATATTAATACCACAGTGTAATAAAAAAAATTATTTATTTTATCGATCTTTACATAATAGATTTGTTTTTATGTTATATAAACAACTTCGATCAGTCTTTGGCTGAATGTTACTACACCCATAGCTATTAAAAATGATTCGTATGTTTTCCAAACCGGTAAAATTAAAAGTACTTTTTAAAGCAAATATATTATACAAAGGTGTCCATTTAAATCTAATGACTGTTAATTAAATTATAAATTACGCCAAGAATTACCGTGTATGTCAATATTTTTTGTGCATTTAGGCCAATTTGAGCAATCTCCTTTAAGTAGTCATTCCTTTTCATAATCTATTGGTACAGCTTGATAAGGATACTGTCAAAATAGGATTTAGGTTTAGAGAATCATGTAAAAATCAATTAGAAACCATAGAAAATTCTTGCTTTTGTCTTTGTTTGTTCCTTAATAACATTTACAGCAGACAAAACATAAGAAATCAATAGAAAAGAAAGTAATAGAAATTCACAGTTTATTAAGATTGACTGAGACAGAAATCAGGATTATTCCAATTCAGTGCGTGTCCTTATAAAATATAACGATTTTTTCCACAATTGTTGTTACTAATGGTCCTTACCATTAGTTAAATCTGAGTTTATGAAAGTGAAGCAACTCTCCCATTGGCCTGCCCCGGGATGGGTGACCGAAGGTGCACGTACCTTCTTGATGAGTTTCCTGCGGTAGTGGTGTATCTGCTGGTGCGGCTGCAGCCCGGGCCGCTTCGCTCGGGCTCCGGCCTCCAGTTCGTCCGCGTACTTCAGTACGCGCACTTCGATTTCCCGCAAAGTTTCTCTAGATAACAACTGCTCTTCGCCGGATATCGTACTGTTAAAAGAATAATAAAAGTCACTTCGAGTTACAAATATCCGCGCTCAGGGATACAATCAACTTATAAGTTTGACTTAGTTGATGTCAAACGGCGGGGGGCTCGGCTGATGGCTCCACGCTCTAAGCTGGTGCATACCTGTCATTGGGCGGCGGCGGGGTGGGTGCGGCGGGTGCGGGCGGCGGTGAAGGCGGGGGCGGGGCGGGGTCGGGGCCGGCGGGGGGCTCGGCTGATGGCTCCACGCTCTAAGCTAGTGCATACCTGTCATTGGGCGGCGGCGGGGTGGGTGCAGCGGGTGCGGGCGGCGGTGAAGGCGGGGGCGGGGCGGGGTCGGGGCCGGCGGGGGGCTCGGCTGATGGCTCCACGCTCTAAGCTAGTGCATACCTGTCATTGGGCGGCGGCGGGGTGGGTGCAGCGGGTGCGGGCGGCGGTGAAGGCGGGGGCGGGGCGGGGTCGGGGCCGGCGGGGGGCTCGGCTGATGGCTCCACGCTCTAAGCTAGTGCATACCTGTCATTGGGCGGCGGCGGGGTGGGTGCAGCGGGTGCGGGCGGCGGTGAAGGCGGGGGCGGGGCGGGGTCGGGGCCGGCGGGGGGCTCGGCTGATGGCTCCACGCTCTAAGCTAGTGCATACCTGTCATTGGGCGGCGGCGGGGTGGGTGCAGCGGGTGCGGGCGGCGGTGAAGGCGGGGGCGGGGCGGGGTCGGGGCCGGCGGGGGGCTCGGCTGATGGCTCCACGCTCTAAGCTAGTGCATACCTGTCATTGGGCGGCGGCGGGGTGGGTGCAGCGGGTGCGGGCGGCGGTGAAGGCGGGGGCGGGGCGGGGTCGGGGCCGGCGGGGGGCTCGGCTGATGGCTCCACGCTCTAAGCTAGTGCATACCTGTCATTGGGCGGCGGCGGGGTGGGTGCAGCGGGTGCGGGCGGCGGTGAAGGCGGGGGCGGGGCGGGGTCGGGGCCGGCGGGGGGCTCGGCTGATGGCTCCACGCTCTAAGCTAGTGCATACCTGTCATTGGGCGGCGGCGGGGTGGGTGCAGCGGGTGCGGGCGGCGGTGAAGGCGGGGGCGGGGCGGGGTCGGGGCCGGCGGGGGGCTCGGCTGATGGCTCCACGCTCTAAGCTAGTGCATACCTGTCATTGGGCGGCGGCGGGGTGGGTGCAGCGGGTGCGGGCGGCGGTGAAGGCGGGGGCGGGGCGGGGTCGGGGCCGGCGGGGGGCTCGGCTGATGGCTCCACGCTCTAAGCTAGTGCATACCTGTCATTGGGCGGCGGCGGGGTGGGTGCAGCGGGTGCGGGCGGCGGTGAAGGCGGGGGCGGGGCGGGGTCGGGGCCGGCGGGGGGCTCGGCTGATGGCTCCACGCTCTAAGCTAGTGCATACCTGTCATTGGGCGGCGGCGGGGTGGGTGCAGCGGGTGCGGGCGGCGGTGAAGGCGGGGGCGGGGCGGGGTCGGGGCCGGCGGGGGGCTCGGCTGATGGCTCCACGCTCTAAGCTAGTGCATACCTGTCATTGGGCGGCGGCGGGGTGGGTGCAGCGGGTGCGGGCGGCGGTGAAGGCGGGGGCGGGGCGGGGTCGGGGCCGGCGGGGGGCTCGGCTGATGGCTCCACGCTCTAAGCTAGTGCATACCTGTCATTGGGCGGCGGCGGGGTGGGTGCAGCGGGTGCGGGCGGCGGTGAAGGCGGGGGCGGGGCGGGGTCGGGGCCGGCGGGGGGCTCGGCTGATGGCTCCACGCTCTCCCACCGCGACGGGATGAACGCGCCACCCAGCCCCGCCCCCGACCCTGTCCCTGCCACCGGGGACTGAACCCCGCCCGAGATCTCCAGGGGAACACCGTCGATGTCCTCGTCCACTGTATGCCAAAAACGCAAACTTAATTGCACATTTATAAGTCGCAGTCTTAGATTAAAACAAAGAACGAGCGAACCTTACAGTAGTCGCGTATGATGTGTAACATTTGAAACCTCTCCTAGTATTAAGTAAAAAAGAAATAAAACCTCCTACAAAAGGAATAAGCCCTTTTGAACATTATGTTCTAAAATCAAATCAAATAGCGCGCGCTTCCCAAACTTCCTGTTACACACTTCCGTCCCATTTCACGAAATCACTCTTACAAATTACAGGAAAGGAAGAGAAAAGATGTAACACATCAAAAAGGAAGATACTCGCGGCTCAAAAGTGGTCCGCTTAAATTGTGGTGCATGACCACAATTAGCTTTAGTCACAACTGGACAGTCAAACACGCTGCATGTGCAATCAATATAACAATAATGCGTATATTCTGTGTTGTAAAGATAAAACAATGCCTTCGATGATTTTATAAAGTACACAAATAGTTCATGATCAAATAACAAATGCCTAGGCAACACTTTTCATTCTTAAAACTGTCAAAACATTTTTTTCTCAAAAACCACGGTTTGTTCTGAACGTTATTAACGTAATCGCCATTTTGTTATCAGGAAAAGGACAACAATACAGCTCTGCCATACGGACTCGGAAGCGCACTCGCCATTTCACTCACGCTGGGTTGAAGCGTACAGTTCTGTCTCGATCGTTCGATTAGTTGTTTATATACAGACGTGTGCATTTATGAGTTGCTTATGTAGTTGAGTCGGATCATATTTTATTTGATGCTAGTATGAGAGTACCGTAATTCATTCATTTATTTGCATCACAAATTAATACAATAAAATTAATAATACATTTTATCACTGCAGACATAGAGACATAGATGATTATTAGTTTAAGCAATTCTTAACTTTCTAGTCTGAATTACAGTCATTAGTAAGTGACAGTGACGCAAATAGATGTGCAGTGCAATGATAGTGATGCATTAGCATCCGCGTTGAGATTTAAAATAAGAACACGAATTTCGAATAAATTTACAAATCACACCGGCGAATTCCGCGGTGAAAAGTGAGTTTGTATCTACAGAACAGCACTGCAGGTGTATAGTACTTTTTCGCACGTCCTGCGGATTATTCAAATCGCGTTGATTTATCCACGATGCATAATATAAATAATGATATGTTTATGAGCAAAATAATCTTTGTACCTTACAATATAACTCTATCAATGTATTAATCATGGTGAAAATAAATCCAAAAAACTATCAACGAGTTTAAGGAGTATACAAGACTTCCGTGGCCGAATGGTATGTACGCCAGGTTTCAAGGTGTCGCCTACTCGAGAGGTACCGGGATCGAACCCTAGTGGGGGAAGATATTTGTGTGATGAACACGAGCATTCGTACTGCAGTCATGGATGTTTAATATGTATTTCCATATAAATGAATATACTTATATATTTATTCGATCCGTAATTCCAGTATCCCATAACACAAGCCTACAGTACTTACTTAGGGGCTAGGCTAATTGGTGTGAGTGTTGGATATATTTATTTATTCATTACCTACTAGCGACTTCGTACGTGTGGAATTAGTTAAATAAAGGTTCACTGCTCGTTCCCCGTAGGTTATAGCGTTATAATATGTAGCCTATATGTTGACCTGACTTCTTAATAATATTCGTGCCAAATTTGAAGTAAATCCATGCAGCACTTTTTAAGTTTATCCCGGACATACATACAGACAAACAGACAAAAATTTTAAAAACTATATTTTTGGCTTCGGCATCGATATTAGATCACACCCCAATTAAAATTTCTTTTAAAAAAATATTCAATGTACAGTTTTGACGTACCTACTATTTTATTATATGTATAGATTTATCATAAATTACATTTATTAACTTACCCGGTACGCCGTCGATATCCGGCTCAGGGTTAGGTTGTTGCCGCCGGGAGGCAGCGAGGCGCCGTAAAGCAGCGCCATCTAGCGCTCCCGCCCACTCGGCTGAGGAACTGGAGCCCGGGGAGGACCCGCCCTCCGACCCCGCCCCGACCTCGTCAGGGCCGGGCCCGCCCTCACCCACCCCGGTCCCGACATCGCCCGTCGTTTCCTACACACGCGTTATTATCTCATCAATCATCAACAGCCTACATTAGTCCACTGCTGGACATAGGCCTCTCCAATTGCACGCCACTGAAGTCGATCTTAGGCTACTCGCATCCAGCTCCTGCCAGCCACCTTGCGCAAATCGACACTCCACCGTACCTGAGGCATTATATTCTGCCGCGTTACTATCTAACATTTAAAATTCTCGTGTCACGGTGTGCGTAATTAAACTACTCCGAAACGGCTCGACCGATTTTCGTGATTTTTTATATGCATATTCAGTAGCTCTGAGAATCGGACAACATTTATATGTCATCCCCCTAAATGTTAAGGGTTTTTTTTTGTGTTTTGTGAAAAAATTTTCGTTTTACTTTTTTAATGATACATCATACAAAAATATATACAACCCTAAATTTTCACCCTTCTACCACCAACCCCTATTTATTTATAGTGGTACGAAATTCGCTGGAACGGTTAGTTTATCTATACACTGGTGCCAATTCTGACGTGATTCTCTAAACTCAAAACTAAATTTAACACCAGTCTCTCCTTTACATTCTGTATAGAGAATGACTAGGATATACTGCTGTCAAATTTAAGTTTAGGTTTAGAGAATCATGCTAGAATCGACACCAATGTCTTAACTACAGCCTTTACCTCATTTGTAATTACTTTTATTCCAAAACTGCTTTCAACATTTTTTGTTGATTTAAAAATGTTCAATCAACTGCTTACACGAACGATTTATAAGAATACTTAAATAATATAATAAAGAAATTTACAAAAAAATAACAAAAAATTTGTTAATAAGTAATAATAGCCCGCCCAAAAACGCTTTCCGCCTTATTCCAAAACGCGGATTAATTAAGTCTTGGTTAATTCTTAATGCTATCTCTGTGTTCTTTTTGGTAAACAAAAGTGACAGCATCAGTTTCAGTCCAGGTTTAACTTTAGTCTATGTTTTGTAATAACTCTGTTTGTGATCACATCGGAAATTGCATTAACTGGTACAAAACTCTCAATAAACAACACAATAGTTTCAATTATGGCGTGTCTCTCTAAACTTGAAACTAAATTTACCATCAGTCTATCCTTTTCATTCTGTATAGAGAATGACAAGGATACACTGTTGTCAAATTGAAATTTAGGTTTAGAGAATCATCATCATACCAGAATCGACATCATTGCAAAAAATCATTTATTGATAACATATTCAATTAAATTCAGAGTTAATTTTAAAACACCAAAAACCGCTTAGGAGGTGATTCTAGCCATCAACAGGAACAACTTTTATTATGGTACCAACTCTGAAATTGCGAAAAAAAATCAGCTGTTTCATACATTTCGGTCGATGCTCATGAATGTTTCATACATTTCGGTCGATGCACTTTTGTATGAAACAGCTGATTTTTTTTTCGTGATTTCAGAGTTGGTCTCATAATAAAAGTTGTTCCTGTTGATGGGTAGATTCACCCCCTAAGAGGTTGTTGGTGTTTTAAAATTAACCCTGTATATTACGAGAGCACAGACCTTGTCCATCCCCAGGAACACGTCGTTGATGTGCATGAGGAATTCGGTAGGGTAAACGGCCCAGTCGGCCCACGCCTGCAGTATGCGCGTGACTCGCGCGCGGAACCCTTCCCTTTGTACGCGCGTGCTGAGTGCCGCCCAAGCGCTGTGACTGTGACGCATTATCTCCACTAGGCGCTGTTGGAACCTATGCGAGAGAACGGGAAATTCTATTCATAAACCATTATTTAGGGATATTTTCCCGCAGTAAAACGTAGCCTATGTGTTAATCAAGGGTGACAGCTAACTCCATACCAAATTTTATTAAAATCGCTCCAGTCGTTTAGACGTGAAGAAGTAACATACATACACACTCACAAACTTTCGCATTTATAATATTAGTGTGATAATACACACTTCTATCGAAACCATATACTAATGCGATTAGCATTAGTTCAGGACCTACGTGACACATGAATTGTAAGTAATAAAAAGATTTACAACTTTTTTATTTACAGTTTTTAGTAAGTTTTTAATAGTAAACCAAAAATCGGTATTTTGATTCTTCGCAGAAATCTTAGGTTATGTTAAAAAATCTGTGACGGGACTCGCACGCGGAACTCCTCCCTTTGTAAGCGCGTGCCGAGCGCCGCCCAAGCGCTGTGGCTGTGACGCATTATCTCTACTAGGCGCTGTTGGAACCTACGCGAGAGAACAGGGGATGTTATTCATGTTGAAGCAAAATCATTGTGTTCTTACGTTCGTTTAAGTCATCAATGTGAGTGATGAGTTAGTGACAAAATAAACAGCATTGAAGACACACGTTTATTTCTATTAATGTTATCCAAGCATTAAAAGATAGTTCTTTTATCCAAGAACAATTTTTAAACAATAATTTGCCATAATACACACTTCTATCGAAACCATATTAATCGCATTAGTTCAGGACCTATGTGACACATGAATTGCAGATAATAAAAATATTAGTTTTACCGAAAACCGCGATAAACCATTTTCAGCCCCCCCCCCCCCCCCCCCAAATGTCATTTATATTATTATTTTTAAGGTGTTCTCTTTCTTCTGTTATGGGATACATCCTGTTCCAAATTTTTGTTGCTCTTAAAAATTATAAACACGGGTCTAATGTAATATTGTGTATATGTTAGTGTGTTTACAATGGTATTTATGACTTACGCAGCTCTGAAGGCGCTGGCATTGGTAAGTTTAGCGCCGGCGTTGTGCAGAATGTCCGACAGCAGGTAGAGGCGGGCTATGCGTTTGTGCGGCGCGGTGTTTTCGCCAGCCAACGACTCGGCGATGCAGGCGGCCACTTCGCCCGCAGCTTCTGCGTGCTCTAAACACCACGCCATCGCTGCGCCTACGCTGTCCCGAGACCCGGTCAGACCGCGGATCAATTCTTCCAGGCGATCCCGCTGGCTATAGAAACCAAATTACCAGTTCAAAGAGCGCGCCACTGTCTACGTAAATGACGCACAAAATGTACGTTTATAAAGGCAGCGGCGTTAGTTCCACTTTTCGCCACATTCATAAAGATCTTTGTCGTAGTATACATGTTTCAATGTTTACCTACTTTTGTGCTCAAACAAGCACTGGCTAAACCACAAGCACACAACATCATATAAGCCAATGATTAAACAGTTTAACGCGGCCACTTTGACTTCGGACAGAAACCCAATTACCAGTTCAGGGAGGGCGCTACTATCTACGTAATCATAATCATCATCAACCTATTGATGTCCCCACTGCTGGGACACAAGGCTTCCCTATGGATGGAATAGGGAGATTGGGCTATGACCCACCAAGCGGGCCCATTGGCGGGTGCTAACGACTGCAGATGCAGCCGGAACCAACGGCTTAACATGCCCTCCGAGGCACGGAGGAACTCGAGATAGAAGATTTTTGGTCACCCATCCAATGACCGACCACTGCGAAAGTTGCTTAACTTCAACGATCGCAGTCGAACGCGCTAACCACCCGCACCATCGAGCTCCTCCTGTCTACGTAAATGCCGGACAAAATATAACGTTTATTAAGCTAACAACGTTAGTTCCACTTTTCGCCAAATTCATAAAGATCCTTGTCGTACTATGCATGTCTCAATGTTTTACTACTTTCATGCTCAAACAAGCACTGGCTTAACCACAAACACACATCATCACCACGCCATCGAGAGTTTTACTTTTTTATAGCGGTATTTCACTGAAATTAACATAATTATTCAACAACAGATTTATCTACACCGTCTCATTATTATCTTATAGTATTATCTATAACATTATACGCTTAAGTACTAAAACTAAAGTACCAAAAACTAACTTGTTGGAGAGTGTTCCTCGTATGTTCTCCTTGGCGTCATCCTCCTCCACTAATTCGTCGGGCATGCCCGCAGTATACAGGTTCATTACTGGCGGACGCCATACTGATCCACCTTTATACCAAGAACACAATCATTATATGTATACAGTGTTAAAAGACATTCGACAAAGCCAAAACCCACGTATTTTACTAATCATCAGAACCATTTTTGTCTTCTAGATTTATACCTGGGAAATCAATAGTTATACTTAAAAAAATATAGGTTTTATGGAAACAGATTTTAAACATAATTTTTTAATTTCTTTTCAAAGTAACGTTATCAAAATTATTAGTATTTCGTAAAAAACTCTTTTAACAGTTAGAACTCAATGTATCTCGACTGTAAGTACACACAAATACACACACTCAGCTCTGTATGCCGTGTGCGTCGCGGTCTGCTGCGGGCTATAAATTGCATGGTACTGTTTGTAATTTATTTTAACACCATAAAATTAAAATCATTTCTCAGCAATATTTTTTTCTAAGTTTCTTATTTTGTATATTAAATGTTGTTGATACCCTTGAACATCCGGAAGTCGTCTAGCGCCCACTGCTTGGGGGAATCCCCCTGCAGCAGGGAGAATAGCTTCCAGCGGTAGTATACGTGCGCGGGCGACTGGTTCTCAAACAGGAACCGGAAGAAGGGGTTGCTCATCTCCTTGTTCATGATTATAGCTTCGAACATAGGGCCCTCGCGGATCACGAACTCCACCATGCGGTGGATTAGCATTAACACGTTTCTGTTGAAATTATGTATTTTTAACCATAGATAGAAGAAAATCAATTTAATTTTGCAATCATTTTTTTATAACAACTTTAAACGGAGGAGATTATCAATAGGCACACAAAACACAAAGCTTATTACAGATGGGGCTTTGGCCATTTGGCCCTTAACAACCAAGCTGTCACTTAAATGTTGCTTTCTCAACGTCGGGTCTGAGTGCAAATTTTTACCCTGACGTTTCATAAAGATATGAAAACTATGAAACTTATGTCAAATTTAAAATTAATTGCAACTGGAGGTTTGGAAGTCTATCGGATTTGTCGGATTTCCTTGTAACTTTAACAGCTGTATCGAGATGTTGTTATGGGCCATTCGAAACCTGCGCTTCTGCCAAGATAAATGGGCAGTTTTCGTTTCCATTCGGATGGATATTTTTTATTGAAATAATTTCAGACGTTATATAATTTACTAGCTGTGCCTCCCGCGGTTTATTAGGGATATTTTCCCACAGTAAAACGTAGCGTATGTGTTATCCAGGGTGTCAGCTAACTCCATACCAAATTTTATTAAAATCTCTCCAGCCGTTTAGACGTGAAAAAGTAACAAACATACACACTCACAAACTTGCGCCTTTATAATATTAGTGTGATGTGCACAGTTTCACACTATTGAGTGACAAATTAAAGAATAACTAAACCGGAAACCGATTTAAATAAAAATCATTAAAATGCAAAGGCTAATAATCGTACATTATTAAATATTTATTTTCTGGAATCAAACAGTGTTTATAAAAAAAAACTATGAATTTGAAGCAGGCAACATCAATTCTAACACACTGAATTAAGGGTTCAGTGTCGACAATACAAATAAGAATAACCATTTAAAGTATAAACATAATGATGCAAGCAAAGAATATGCTCATGCGAATAAGTATTTTCTTACCTTTCAGTGGGCACCACAACTTTCACTATAGACTGCGACAATATCTACAAAAGGAATGAAATATGATTTTAATAAAATAATAGTAAACTTTGTACATCTTACTACAGTTATTTAATCCCAAAATTAGCCGAGCTTTTTATCCATAGAACACATACAAAATCATTGTTAATACAATCATGACTTGAGAATAAATAAATACCTCTACCAGATTCGCCCCCATGACTTTGGAAGCAGAAGACAGGATCGCTAGTGGTGTCGATTCTGGCATGATTCTCTAAACCTTAACTTGACAACAGTGTATCCTTGTCATTCTCTATACATAATGAAAAGGAGAGACTCATATTAAATTTAGTTTTAAATTTAAAGAATAATGCCAATATCGATACCACTATTGCATCAAACGTTATTGATGTGTAACATCTTTCCCCTTGCTTTCTTGTAATTTGTGGGAGCGATTTCGTGAAATGAGATTTAAGAGTGTAACAGGAAGTGGGGCAAGCGCGCGCTATTTTGATTTAATTTAAGAATATAATGTTAAAAGTTCCTTATATCTTATTAAACCACTTGACCGTCACTGAAAGCTTTATATTGAGATAGCACTTCCGTTTCCCGTCGAATTACCATCAGTTTCCGTACTTTTATTCACCTTATATCCGGTCCAGTGGCGACACCTGGCAGAAGCGCGGCCATTTTTGTTTTCCTAAGTTTTGACAGCGCCATATTAACTCATTGGCGTAGATGGTATCTTATGGATGGTTTTTGCCGTTCGTGTTATTCCAAATAGGTACTTTACGTGTCAAAAGTGAAGGAATCGTAAGTAAAACTATTATTCTTTTTGATAGTTTTTGCAGCCCTTGTGATAAGGGATATTTAAAACAAATATGTTAAATTGTGCAATACGCTTGTTTGAAAAAGTAATAATAAGCCGTGAGTAAAACTTAACGGCAATTCAAGGTGCGTTTTATTTAAAAAATTAAAGTACCTACATTAAAGTAAATTTTGCAATACTTTACGTCTGTCTTGGTCGTTTATCATAAAAACTATTTTAAGAGTGTTTTCTCTTGGTATTCAATTAATGTTTCCGTATAAGTAAATGTGAAAGTAAATTGGTAAATGTACAAAATACTTAATTAAATTTTTTTACAGTTTAGAGTGAAGGAATATCGGTCAATATTGACGTTTCAGCCGCCGACTGACTGGCATTATTGGCAAAAACAGCAAGATGTGTGGATCTAGTCATTATTGTTCTTCGAACAGCTGCAGTAATAATTGGTTGAATTTGTCGTCTTCTGGTATAACGAAACCGGCATCGCTGCCTCAAGAAAAATAAGCGAGCTTGATATTCCAGCCCTTTTATTAAAAGATTGTTCGAGGGGTAAGTGAACTATGTACAATCTTAATAAGGTATTTCTAATGTCGATTTGCCTTTTTCTGAACATGGCCAGCTATCAATATCTAAAGGCTTATGAATAAAAAGTTCTAACATTTTTACTGACCAATACACGTAATAAAAATTCTCATATGAGTCGTATGACTAAACTAGGATAAAGGAACGCTCTGTTCGAAAGACATTCAACGTTTATTTTAAATGATATGCTGATGTAAATTAAAAATTATAATCATAGTCCAGGCTTTATCAACCTGGAAACAAACAACGAGGTAAAGAAGTATGATGATAATTTATGATATATCAAGTTCCTGACATTAATTTTCTTTCAGCAATTGCATATTTCTAAAATAAAAATGAATCATTGCGGGAAGGCACCTGCTCAGTTAATTTTAATAACGAAAGTGATAAGATAACAGAATCGTTTCTTAGGTCTTTTACAGCTAGCACAAAGCTAAAAAGTAAAAACTAAAGCACTGCAAGAAGTTAGTGATCTCTGTGATGAAGCACCACTTAATAAGATACCATCTATGAGGTTGTTTTTATCGTATTAAGTAAGTATTTGTCATGGATTTAAGTGATTGACATTTCATCAACCTAATGAGCAACTCGCGCAGAGGCAAGTGATATTCATAAGCTTCATCTCATGAAGCCCAAGGCGTGTCAGGACATGCCCTCCCATGGCGTACCTACACATATGAGTACCGGTGGCAAATCACCCTCGCGGGGTGCATATTATATATAATTTGTTTCCACTACGTGGAATCTTATTAAATGCCTCTAATGCCTTGCCTACATATACGAGTACCGGTGGCAAATCACCCTCGCGGGGTGAATATTATGTACAATTAGTTTCCACTACGTGGAACCTTATGAAATGCCTCTAATGCCTTGCCTACATATACGAGTACCGGTAGCAAATCACCCTCGCGGGGTGCATATTATATACAATTTGTTTCCACTACGTGAAACCTTATGAAATACCTCTAATGCCTTGCTTACATATACGAGTACCGGTAGCAAACCAACTTCGCGGCGTGCATATTACCAAAACTCTGATGACCGCCCCTCGCATATTATGTATAATTTGCTTCCTCCGTTTGGAACTCATTATGAATAAGGACTTGCCTTCCATGGCTTGCCTACACATACAAGTATCAGTAACAAAACATCGTTGATAGAGAAATATCCTCATCAATTTTATAATCGCCCTTGTGAGGTCATATCACACATAATATATTATTTCCATTACGTGAATATCAATATATGTTCTCCTTAGAACATGTTCGCTTATGGAGTTCGTACTATTATGTAAGCACCGGTAACATACGACACTCGAGTGGAGCAAATTATGCATAATTTAACATGTAGTCTATTCGTGATTCATAATTTATTTTTGTGACCATGGGGTCTGTAAAAGTGTAAACGATTCGAAACATTAAAAATAAGTAAATTGAAAATATAATAAATGTCGCTTGACATAATTCATTACTTCCATCGCGTGGAAATCCATACATCTACGCAACGCAACATACCCGCTCATGGCCTGCGTACACACATAAGTATCGGCTATAAACTACCCTCTTAATAGACTATAAAGATCGAACATCGAATGTTGACGTACCCCGTTGGGAAGTGCAATGTACGTGGTTTTTAAGGTGTCGCATACTCCGAGGTCTTGGGTTCACCCCGGTGGGGCAAATCATTGTATGATAAAAACGAGCATCTGTGCCTAAGTTTTGGTTGTTAACAAATATGAATTTAAAATCTAATCTGATAAATTCTAATCTATGCATCATCATTATGCATTTCTAGGCGTTAGCCCATAACACAAGCCTTTCAATGCCCATTATAAGGCTAGGCTAATTGGTGTGAAGTGTTGACTCGATCACTACGGTTGTTCTACCGTAATATATAATACATTTCAAAAGAAAAAGGAATATCGAAACAATTAATGTTTGAAAAAATTTAGTGCAGGTAAGTTGATAAATTGGGAGCTCCATAAATAATTCTTAAATAAATTTAATGGTATCGCATGCCATTCAAAAGCTTGTTTATCTAAATCCAATATATATCAAACTCCAATCTCAAGTGCAGTACACTATAAATATGTAAAGAATTCTAAGTTTTCTGCAATTTAAAGACTATCTGCCAGATAAATAGAAGATAACATATTTTCTCTTGAAAATAACAAAAGTAAACCAAATGGGTTGTTGCTCACTCTTTTGATCGCGTAATGAGAGAAACTTGCAATATTAGAAATGTCGTGTATGTGGTGTCTGAGGTGGCCAACTTGATCATTTTGATATATAAGTGGTGCTAGTTACTGAAGAAAGATTGCACGATCTACCAAATTCTTGAAAGGTTTTGAAGATCATTGTATGCAATTATCCCCTTTATGTTATTTTAGTAAAAATTACTGAAAACTGTTCTTAATATTAAACTTACGCTTTCTAACCTTGCCACGACTGTCTGGAATAAATATACTTCAAACCCTACGCATAGTACATGCATACCTCATGTAAGCTGTGTAAATCTTATAAATAACTAAATCTTTATTTAGTATTAAGTAATACATATAAATGACTCTGATCTAAGAACTGAAAAACAAAAGAAAAGATTACAATCAATTATAGATTCCAGGATGGCAAATGAATTTCATAAAATCTGGTCTGAACTTCGTAATAGCATAATTTATCACGGCAACCCAGCAACAATATAAAAACTATACCAGAGAATTTCGTTGTAAAAACGTAAACTTCAGAAGTTGATCGGTTTCAACATTTTTGTCATTCCGTGGGGTTGTATCAACCACTCCGTACTTCTAACAATAATTATGAATTCACTGCAATCGACCTTGCAATCACTTCCCGCCAATCTAATATGAAAGCTTGGGAAGTATAGTTGAAGAACACGGCACGATATGCTAGCACTACGCTTTTCAACATATTCTACAAAGAGCGACAGCTCTGTCTTAAACAGCTATGAGATGGCTCGGAAACGCTGGCTTGCGTGGTTGCATTGGTCTAGGAACAAGAATGTTTATCGGAATAATCCCGCAAGTTGTGGACTCTGCTCTGAACTAACACGATTTTTGAGAGACTTATTTTTAACTCATGACTTATTTTAAAATAAGTACCATTATTTTAAATAAGTCAGTAGTTATTACATGATATACCAATGGATGATAAGTCTAATTACCTAAGCTCACCTGTCTTGGCAAACACATATATTGAAGTCGATTGTTTTTAAAGAATCAGTCCGTAACCTACTATTCTGTGTCTATAAGTTAACTTATTTCCTTTTCTTCAATAATGTACTCGTTACATCATAATGATCTGTTTCAAATACTTCGTCATATATGTTGTTCTGAACGTCATACAGTAATTATGCTGCGTATTATTTGGTTAAGCATGTGGTACACATGACTTGTTCCTACTTCAAATTATCCCGAATCATTGTATTTGTACCGACGAAGATTAGTTTAGCCTTGTTTTGGTTCAAAACAGGTGAAAGTAGTTAAAGACAATCCGATTGGTGACTTGTACCGAATAATGGTAATCGTAAGTGGGACCCTGATTTTTGGTACTTAAGTAAAAAGTACAGTCTTGTAAAATGTAAGACTCAGTATCGAACAACTTTACATCTTTTTCTCTCGTTCGTACGCCTTATTTGTGATATACAAAGATACATATGAATGCTACACAAGGAAGCGTCCGGTCATTAACAAAACAAATATATGTAGAAGTATATATATATATATACTTCGCGAGTTTTAAGCAAAGGAATATAGCGATCAGCTAATACATATGTTAAAGCAGCTTCGTAAACTTGAAGAAATTAAAAGCGTGATTCAAATAATATTATTTGATTCATTTTTAAGCTTACTCGTTTCTTTATACAGTTTCATATAATCTGATAAATGTTAATATTTAAATTTATCATAAATTGTCACATTGGCGTATATATCTATGTACGTGGCGATCACCAGGCGATAACAAACAGGTCTCAATATAAAGCTTTCAATGACGGTCAAGTGGTTTAATAGCAGCATTTTACCTGAAATAAAATGCATATTAAAATACTTACCTCACTGAAAGCTTTCACTTTAAATTCTGCCTGGTGAAATAATTGAGCCAATGAGTTAATATGGCGCTGTCAAAACTTAGGAAAACAAAAATGGCCGCGCTTCTGCCAGGTGTCGCCACTGGACCGGATATAAGGTGAATAAAAGTACGGAAACTGATGGTAATTCGACGGGAAACGGAAGTGCTATCTCAATATAAAGCTTTCAGTGAGGTAAGTATTTTAATATGCATTTTATTTCAGGTAAAATGCTGCTATTAAATAGCTAAAATTTCTTTTCTTACTAAGATAAGATGTCAATACTCAATGTTTTATTGTTTCCATATTGTATACAAAATGTTACAAAAAAATATGCACAATCATGGACCCCGTCGGGCACGACAATCAATTAATTACAGAGGGAAAGTGACACTTATGATTACATAAAAACGCTTATAACTACTATAACTGACTATTACAATTCAGAATTTATATCTACAATTAATTAAAAGAGGTATTAAATTTCATTTGATTCTTAAAATTCACGAAAAATAATAACAATAATGTGTATATGTTAAATGTATTATGCGACTACTGTAAGGCTCGCTCGTAATTTATTAAGTAAGCCGTTGGTCCCGGCTGCGTCTGCAGTCGTTAGCACCCAATACGGACTGGATTCGCGTAGTGAGTTTATAGCCCAGTCTTTCATACCCAGGTGGGCACTATGTTCTAATAATGGTAAATAATAGATTGATGATGATTATAAATTAACAACATGTACCTGTTCGTATGCTTTGCGATCATCAGGATCATTAGGGTAGTAGTCGCCGATGCGAACACGAGGTATCTATAAGTAAAAAAATAAAATTATTAGCATGAATTGAAAACAATTCGTATCAAATTACCCATTGAACTGATGAAAAGGCTTTCAATTTGTAATTTCTTTTTTTTTGGGTCTTCGTTCGTTTCACCCCAAGAGCGGTTCGGCCCGCAGGATGAATCGCCCAAGTTTTTTTTTTATTGGTCTTTCCGCCCTACATCCAAGAAACGATGCATTGAGCGTTCAGCCCCATGCCTTGGATGCGGGGCCATAGTTAATTATGATATTAGTGCAGTAACTTGGTTATTACAAACGAGTAGACGAATGTAAAAATTCAATATCATTTATTTATTTATTTTATTTATTTATTTTTGTAGACCTTGTAGTGTCACTGGTTGCGCGTTGAAGGGCAGTCCGGAGGGCGGGGGCGACTTGCAGGAGTGCTGCAAGGCGGGTGGAGGTACGTACCCACCTTGTTGATGAGGTGTTTGACGGCTGCGCGTTGAAGGGCAGGCCGGAGGGCGGGGATGGCTTGCAGGCGTGCTGTAGGGCGGGTGAAGGTATGTACCCACCTTGTTGATGAGGTGTTTGGGCGGTTGCGCGTTGAAGGGCAGGTCGGAGGGCGAGGATGGCTTGCAGGCGTGCTGTAGGGCGGGTGAAGGTATGTACCCACCTTGTTGATGAGGTGTTTGGGCGGTTGCGCGTTGAAGGGCAGTCCGGAGGGCGGGGACAGCTTGCAGGGGTGCTGCAGGGCGGGTGGAGGTATGTACCCACCTTGTTGATGAGGTGTTTGGGCGGTTGCGCGTTGAAGGGCAGTCCGGAGGGCGGGGACAGCTTGCAGGGGTGCTGCAGGGCGGGTGGAGGTATGTACCCACCTTGTTGATGAGGTGTTTGGGCGGCTGCGCGTTGAAGGGCAGGCCGGAGGGGGGGCGGCTTGCAGGGGTGATGTAGGACGGGTGAAGGTATGTACCCACCTTGTTGATGAGGTGTTTGGGCGGTTGCGCGTTGAAGGGCAGGTCGGAGGGCGAGGATGGCTTGCAGGCGTGCTGTAGGGCGGGTGAAGGTATGTACCCACCTTGTTGATGAGGTGTTTGGGCGGTTGCGCGTTGAAGGGCAGTCCGGAGGGCGGGGACAGCTTGCAGGGGTGCTGCAGGGCGGGTGGAGGTATGTACCCACCGTGTTGATGAGGTGTTTGGGCGGCTGCGCGTTGAAGGGCAGGCCGGAGGGGGGGGCGGCTTGCAGGGGTGCTGTAGGACGGGTGAAGGTATGTACCCACCTTGTTGATGAGGTGTTTGGGCGGTTGCGCGTTGAAGGGCAGTCCGGAGGGCGGGGACAGCTTGCAGGGGTGCTGCAGGGCGGGTGGAGGTATGTACCCACCTTGTTGATGAGGTGTTTGGGCGGCTGCGCGTTGAAGGGCAGGCCGGAGGGGGGGGCGGCTTGCAGGGGTGCTGTAGGACGGGTGAAGGTATGTACCCACCTTGTTGATGAGGTGTTTGGGCGGTTGCGCGTTGAAGGGCAGTCCGGAGGGCGGGGACAGCTTGCAGGGGTGCTGCAGGGCGGGTGGAGGTATGTACCCACCTTGTTGATGAGGTGTTTGGGCGGCTGCGCGTTGAAGGGCAGGCCGGAGGGGGGGGCGGCTTGCAGGGGTGCTGTAGGACGGGTGAAGGTATGTACCCACCTTGTTGATGAGGTGTTTGGGCGGTTGCGCGTTGAAGGGCAGGCCGGAGGGCGGGGGCGGCTTGCAAGGGTGCTGTAGGGCGGGCGGGATGTAGATGGGCACGGGCGGGATCACCACCGCCTTGCCCCAACCTAACTTCATCTCGTAGCTCATTATCTCCTTGCCTGGTTCACGAATGTAGGTATATAAATATATTAATAAAAGTTTATAATAATAGTTTATTTTTTCCACAAAAGATAATTATTACATAGCTAACTATACTATCACATAGGTATGACACAGTTATGACATACTATTATAGCTGCTGGTGCTTAAAAAAGAATACTATGTGCTATAAGTACCAAATTTACATCATATTGATTATTGATTTTAACTTATTTTGATCTGAATCATTTATTTAGGCATATATGTATGTGTGTGTGTCCAAATTTAAGAGTCGCTTATACAAATACAAAAATCTTTATTATTCTTCTACATCAAAGTTTACATGGTGTGGGTCTTCTTCTTTTAAGTTAAGTAACCTGTATTAGAAGAAGACCGCTCCTTCATTCCGGTCTTTATAAATAATAATACAGCAATAACTTTAATTTAAATTATACTAATTACACCTACATACACAATACACTTATGAACCGATATTGGTGGTAAATAGGCTATTTAACAGTATGAAAACTAAAGTACCAATTGTTGACAGATGTCAACAACTGCTAATATTTATATTAAATACACATGTATTTAATATAAATATTAGCAGTAATTTTACTATTCGGGGAGACGTTATTAATAATAACTTTTCTAAAAAGTCATTAAATAGAAACGATTTATTGTTCTATGGTCACGTGACCTATAATGCCTGGGATTGGCGAAAGCTAAAGTGACGTCACACGCTAATAAACTTCCGGTCAAAGCGACATTACGTTGTATCGTTTGACGTTTTACTGACAGTCGTGTGAGGTCAAATCAAGGAACTTTTATTCTATCTGGAATGCTTACGTGACCCTCAAAAACGTTCCGAAGAGTAAAGCTAAATAAGTGGAAACTGTCTCTTTCTAGAAGTGTGTCCAAACAGTAACATAAGTGATGAGATATTTTTTTTTCTCTGGGTGAAGGAACCTTCTTTCAATTCTATATCCTTATCTTGAAAGTCAATACCGTTAATGAACCGCAGCTCCCTTTCGCCATCCTTACGCAAAACGAAGGCGACGCACCTTCTGTTTTGTTTACCGATGCAGTTCCAGGACAGTGAAACATTTTTAAAAGTTTTGCAACCATGAAAAATTAATACCTGTGCGACATAAAGATGACAGTGCCACAATTCCTACCATGCACCTTTTTGTTCACCGACATGCAGACAGGTAGCGGGACATATAAAACTTAATTTTCAGAAAAAAGTTTGTAAAACATACAGTTGATTTTTTAAAATACAGTGTAAACTCTATATAACGACACTAAAGGGACTATACATTTTACGGTGTTATAGAGAGTTGTCGTTAAATGGAAAGAAGAAAAATCTGACTTATAAAAAGAAAAAGTTTATTTCAAGCTAGTGGTTATGTACATAAAAAAAAATCTTATTTGAACGCTATTGCGTATATTCTGTCATTTTTGTCTGACGTCTTTTGCTGCACCAGTATTAAGTACATGACTCCTACTTATTAGTCATGGTCAACAACAGTCTACACGTGCAATCCCTATTTGTAAACAGAAGAATTAATTTCTTAGAAAGTTTGGTGTGCACAGTCGAGTTTATTACGGGCTAGGATAACACAGCGACAACAGAACGTACAGCTGTGCGATTTTCACTAATTTGGGCAACTTAAAAGGTACTTTTTATTACTTAATTGTTGTCGTTATTGAGAGTGGGTGTAATGCTATATGGAGTGTATCATTGTATGGAAAACCGACTAAACCAACCAAAGACGAGTGATTTCGACGCTTTAGGGAAATTTGTCGTTAAATCGAGTGACGTTACAAATGGAGTTTACACTAGTTACCGTTGATGCACCGCAGCGCCCTCTCGCCGTCTTTGCGCGACATGAAGGCGACGAAACCGCAGTTCCGGCCGCGCGCCTTCTCCTCGTCCGAGCGCGGCCACATTATCTTGATGCTGGCTAGAGGCCCGTACCGACCGAATATCTCCATGAGCTGCTGCTCCGTTATCTGTGGGCGGTATAATAATAATGTTTATTGACATTATACTTTTTACAATTTATGTTTGATTCCCCTGTATTCCACAATAGGCCTTAGCCTGTAGTATGGAATCCAGTGTCCTCTCCAATTATGTACTTACAATATTATCTTAGCAGTTGTACTGGACATAACAAAACATTGGTGCCAATTCTGGCGTGATTCTCTAAACTTAAACATAAATTCGACATCAGTTTCTCCTTTTCATTATGAATAGAGAATGACAAGGATATACTGCTGTCAAATTTAAGTTTAGGTTTAGAGAATCGTGCTAGGATCGACACCATTATTATTTTTCTTCACAGTAAAAGTAAATAGAATAGAATTGATCCTAAAATACATATGAGGAGCTGGCGAACAAAACGGTATAATTACAAAAAAATAAAGTTTAACAGGAGCTGTATAAAACTGAATGACATACCTACAGTGAGTTTTTGGCATGGTTTTTAATTTATAAATTTAATAATTTTAACACTATTTAAGGTGGTTCTGATTGAAAATTATTTGAGATTCTAATTAAACGGGCCCGAACCTCCGGACTGTAAAAAAAGTAGTTTGACCAGATGCGTAATTATACTGTTTTGTTCGCCAGCTCCTCATATGTGTTTTAGGATCAATTCTAAGTGATAAAACACAGCTAAGATTGGGTGACAGATTTTACCAATAATTTTAATGACCTTAGGGTTGAGGTTTCCGAGGTACAGGTTGGTAGTGTTGGGGTCCCCGGTGTCGTAGGATCCCACATCTGGTATAGTATCCAGAGCAGGTTCCACGCCCAAAGCGCCTCTCTCGCGTAAAACATTTTTATACTTGTGGCGCTCGGATCGCTCCTCTTGGATCCTGTTGTTGAAAATGGTAAAGTTAAACTAAAGATTACATTAAAAATATATGACTGCAGAATACTCTGATATCAAAAAATGCTGCTTTCTTAACAGAAATAACATAGCAAACTAAATATTTAATGATACCCAATAAGCAGGTCGCAATTCTAAAAAATATGGTCAAAAGAAAATTTCTTTTGCTTGCTCATTATCAAGAACATGTATGTAAGGGTCTTATGAACAATAGTTTAGTTATATATAATTTAACTTCTATTATTCTAAGGTGCAACAATATGTAACCAATACAAAATATAAAAATATATCACTTCATCTAAAGAAAATATAATATAATATATATAAAAAATGGTTGCCTGTAAAGTCGGTTTTACGGGCGAAGATTTTACGTGACAACGTCTTTTTCTCGGTAGAATATTTATTGATATGAATATAATTAAATTGCACAATAGGAACAAGGAATTGAATGAAAATAAGAATTGCACAAATTTTAACTATAGAAATATATTTTGTTTACTAAAACATTGTACATGTAAACTTAAACTTAACACGAGAGACTCATCGTAACGTTACCGAGCGTTACACTTTTTCATAAGTGACTCCCAGCCGCAACCTAATTTAAGACGTTGTCACGTCAAAAAAACACTTAATTTCTGTAATTATAAAAAAATACATAATATAGTAATTTGATTTACTGTCTGAGTTCTTCTTTAAACAGTTCCAAGTTGCTCTTTTTCTTGTCCCCGGAGCGTTGCTTGGCGCGCACGCGGGGCGGTTCCGGGCGCGGCGCCACCAGGCTGCGCACGATGTCCGCCTCGCTCACGCCGCGCTTCTCGTCCAACCGGGAAGTCGGCTTGTACAACTTGCCACGTTCCGACGTGTCCTCTTCTACGGATCATTTGTTTAAGAAACATGACACCAGATTTAAGGATAATGAACCTAGAGGCAGTAAAACTCAGTTAAATACTACCAAAGTCATTAATAAACGGGTGACTTCGTGCGCCACCATGCTGCGCAGGATAAGTGAATCGAAATAAAAATATAAAAATAGGTGAAATCCATAACTTGAATTAGTGAATTTATGTTTGCTAACCATACGCATGGTCACTCTCACGCCTACATTAACGCATATACAGATTTGTCACTCACACAAAAAGTGGACCGCGCGCTCATCGTAGATTGAAAGATCTGTACTTACTTCGAGCTCCAGCATCATATGTGCCAGCTTTCACCCAAACTTTCGAGGTAGTACTAGGGACTTCTTGAAAAGTCTCAACAAACTCTTTGAATACCTAAAAAGGAAAAGGAGTAACGCTACATAAATATTCATTCACTAAAAACACAAATAAAAATTTTGTTCATTAACATATTTTAATACGAAAATAACTGTAATCATAAGACATTTGGACAAATTTGGAAAAAAATGAAGTTTCCAAAAAATTTATAATAATAAACATGGACTTATAAAAAAAGGCGGACAGAGTCCCGGTAAACAATAAACTGTGTCGCTCAGAGTCGGCCAGGTCGCTGTACGTACAAGCCGGCACGCACACATTCACACAATAGTCATCCACTACGCATGCAAACGTCAAAGCAGCCGACACGTTACGTGGAGATAAAAAATAAGCTAAACAAGATATCTTGCTTGTAAAAAGGTGTAAAAACCGTAGTGACCGAAAGAAAAAAATCCAGGAATCACGTTTCATAGGTAAATGAATAAATGAATCACTTTTTTCTATTTTTAGAAATCGAAATCAATTTTAATTCTAAGGACAAAATGATTAGTCTAAAGCCCAGTGTTGCCAATGTTCATGTAACCATATTACCTAAAATATGGGATATCGGGTTGACATTAACTTCAATCTATTATTTATTATTCTTTTTTATCAGATTTCCTAAAGAAAATGTAGTATGGAGAAATTACTGGAAAATGAATGATTTCCTAACAAATATGTAGTAGTGTCATTTTTAGTCTTCATTTTGAAGCTCAAGACTTACATACAACTAAAGGAGGACTCCGGCGTGTTATTACGTATGCATTACGTCAAAAGGTTGATTAAAAAATTTTAACCGACTTCGAAAAGAAAGAGGTTCGCAATACGTCATATTTGTTTTTTTTATTGTTGTTCGCGCAGATCTCCGAGATTCGTGGAACGTTTATGATGATTCTTTTTTTGTTTTAATCAGTTTACCAGCGAGATGGCTGCATAAAATATTAATTTACTGGAGATCTGATGAGTACTTTCGTAGGAAAACAATGGAACTCCTCAATTACAAACAGTACTCAATGGGTGTTAGTTTATTTTAAGAAATATGAAAGAGAATGCAGGCCAGGCCATCTATATTTAGTTGATTTACCCAATATTGAGAAAATTCGATACATTCTAGAATTTCTAATGAGTCCCGACTGTTAAAGTAACTTTGTTCCTTATTAAAAAGAATTCTAGACTACTGGACTTGTTTTTTTCTTTTTAGTACATTTTTTTTTATTTTCTACATTTTAATTTCATTATTTTTTAATTACACGAATTGTATATTTTCTAAATATTCTTTTAAAACCCTTCACTTTGATACCTCGCTTGACGGGTTATAAAAATACTTATACTTTTTTTTCAAAATGTTTCATTTTGGCGCATAAAATCTGTTATTTAGATTTTTTGAAATTTTAATATACCGAGTGCCACTCACACAATCACGACAAATCAAATGACACCTCGCATGTCAAAATCCATCAAGACGTTCAGGCTGTAGGGCGTGCCAAGTTATTGGACATACATACATACATGCATACATACGCCCGAAAAACATTATCCTCCGCAGTCGGGCAAAAAGTAAAATTTTGAACAATCAAAATATTATGATTTTATTTATTTTTTAAGCATTTAACTGCTAGATGTTTAAATCTAAAGAAAAGTTTACTAGAAAAAAATTCACGCGGACCAGGCATCGGACGGGACTCGAACCCGCATCCTTCGCTATCCGGGCGAATGCACTGACCATTATGCTACCACGGCCCTATTAGCCGCGTTGAAATTTTCCTAGCCTTAAGCTGCAAGGCAGCGCCATCTCTTCGCATTGTAGGTAACCCACAATGTCAAATGAATACTTTTTCAAGTATTAAACATTTGAAAGAAGAAATAGCAATTATAGTTATGATTTTATTTATTTTTTAAGAATTTAACTGCTAGATGTTTAAATCTAAAGAAAAGTTTACTAGAAAAAAATCCACGCGGACCAGGCAGCGGACGGTACTCGAACCCGCATCCTTCGCTATCCGGGCGAATGCACTGACCATTATGCTACCACGGCCCTATTAGCCGCGTTGAAATTTTCCTAGCCTTAAGCTGCAAGGCAGCGCCATCTCTTCGCCTTGTAGGTAACCCACAATGTCAAATGAATACTTTTTCAAGTATTAAACATTTGAAAGTAGAAATAGCAATTATAGTTATGATTTTATTTATTTTTTAAGCATTTAACTGCTAGATGTTTAAATCTAAAGAAAAAGTTTACTAGAAAAAAATCCACGCGGACCAGGCAGCGGACGGGACTCGAACCCGCATCCTTCGCTATCCGGGCGAATGCACTGACCATTATGCTACCACGGCCCTATTAGCCGCGTTGAAATTTTCCTAGCCTTAAGCTGCAAGGCAGCGCCATCTCTTCGCATTGTAGGTAACCCACAATGTCAAATGAATACTTTTTCAAGTATTAAACATTTGAAAGAAGAAATAGCAATTATAGTTATGATTTTATTTATTTTTTAAACATTTAACTGCTAGATGCTTAAATCTAAAGAAAAGTTTACTAGAAAAAAATCCACGCGGACCAGGCAGCGGACGGGACTCGAACCCGCATCCTTCGCTATCCGGGCGAATGCACTGACCATTATGCTACCACGGCCCTATTAGCCGCGTTGAAATTTTCCTAGCCTTAAGCTGCAAGGCAGCGCCATCTCTTCGCATTGTAGGTAACCCACAATGTCAAATGAATACTTTTTCAAGTATTAAACATTTGAAAGAAGAAATAGCAATTATAGTTATGATTTTATTTAATGAAATTTTACTAGTAATCAAAATATTTTCATGTTTTTACTGTGTTTTATTGGTAAAAAAATTGGCTAACCTAGCAACCCTACAACCCTCACTCATCAATAGCCGCCGCCATTACGGTGCCTCAGTATTGTCTTAGCCGAAACTCTGTCCGCCTTTTTTTATACGTCCATGATAATAAACATTTTTTTTCTATAATCTTATTAATATTTGGAGTCGGTGCCATGACAACCCAAGTAGTAAATGGGAACTTAGATCTACCAGACCTGTATGGCACCAAAGATCAAAAACATTTATTTGTTTTTGGCAGTTTAAATTTTTTTGCTAAAATGATTTTATTTCTCAATTTTTTGTGGCTTTAATTTTGTGATATACAACTCGACATCTAAATATGAGAGTAAACAATCACCCCTTTTTTCCCACCATTTTTTAGTAGTAGTACTTAGGGTAGTTTTTCCAAATTTATATGAGACCAACTTTGATGTATCTTGTAACATGTTAAAATCTTCACAAGAGTTTAGTTTGTTGAGGGCCTCTGTAGGTTGATTCACTGTTTTGTTTACCATAGATTATTTTCGCTAGATGCGTGGAGGAACAAAAGAAAGAAAATTTTGACGTCACTTCACAACATAATTTTCGAGTGGCGCAATAATGTTCACTTAATAATATTTAATATTGGATAGACTCAAAAGTTTAAAAAATATTTTTGATGGAAGTGTTTTTCTAAATTCTATATTTTGGTAATTTACATGTAGATTTAATTTCTTTTTTTTTTTAATTTACATTTGGAGATGGCTATCGGCCTGTTACTATAATTTCTTTAAAAAACAGTGAGAACCTTCGAAATTTCTTTTGTTTTATACATATTCTTTTGTTTTATGCCATGTACTAATCTGATCTGCGGACTGTTTATTTTCAGCCGTAGGGGTTATTTTTTTTATAATTTAGAAAATTTTATATTGGACCATGAAATAACCTTTTATCATTACATGGGAGTTAGGCTTTTATACATACATTCAACTCAACACATAAGAAAGAAGCAGCTGGGCCAATAAGTGTAAATGAATACCTATATACTTATAAGCACATATATACTAATTCTAGTAAGGTAAAATAATTCTACTATGTAAAATTCAGTTAAAGATGATAAATATATGATGATAATTGGACCTAGATTCTAAATTCTAGTAAATCATTGGCAAATTGGAATTTCAATATATAGACAAAACCCATTGGATTTTGCTTCAACCCCCCCCCTTGCGATTAATAGTTCAATACCCCTCCGGCCAGTCTACTGAAGTAGGTCTGGCGCCCGAGCACTTTTTTAATTTTATTTTGGCCTATCCATATTGCTTTAAAACACAATTTTGGTTTTTCCCACAAAAAAATCTTTTTTATATTTTTAAAACGACAATCTCCTTTCCTAAAAAAAAGAATTATTATAATCAGACTACTCTGTAAAAAGTATTATGTGTTATACACTACAATCAGTGAGTGATCAAATAAATCATCCCCTGTGTTTATACCCTTAGGTTACATTTATTTTCCAAATTCTTAAGGGACCAACTTCAGAGTACACCCTTCCAATAATAAAAGAATTATCAAAATCGGGCTACTCTGTAAAATGTACTGCATGGTCATACATAAATATATATATACATATGACCTAAATATATATATACATATACTTGTCAAGTTGAGAACTTCCTCCGTTTATTTTGTTGGTTAAAAATGTGAACACTTATTACTTGTATATATGTGTACACAAAAATGATGAAGTCATTAATATATAAACATAATTGATGATTTGTCCATCCTTTCAAATAAAAAAAATTAATTATTTCTTCCTTAATCTTTGGAGTTATGTTTTACATGTTAAAGTATTCTACTAAATTTTATTATTAGGAAGCATTTACAATATTTGTAGGATAGGCATAATACATAAATTAAGTATATTGTAAATAGAAAATAAAACAGCTACTTCTATTCCACTAAAAAATACAATAAAATTGCTTTTCTCAGATTGTCAGTACCACCAGACATTAATTTACTAAAATATCACATCTTTTTTAAGAAATGAATTATTCTAATTAATATGGATTTAAAAACGCACATTTATTAGAAATATGCTAGTAAATTGGCCACAAGTTCCAGTCCAGTCTAAATAAACAAGACTACAACTTGTTTTGATGTCTCAAAATAGACTAGACTACAACTTGTACCCAATAGTGATGTAGCATCTAAGAGTCATAATTGCAATGATATATTTTGTATCTATGATCTTAAACAGAAGCATTTTGGACACTCTTACAGTGTGACCAGATTCAGTATTTTAATACTTTTTCAGTATATTTCATCGATTTTTCCGAACATCAGTATATTTTCAGGTATATTGATGGCAGTCAGTATTTTTAGGTATATTTTGGTAGAAGTTATGGCAACACCGTAGTGAGTGATCGTCTTTGCGACAATGTTTGCGGAATTCCCCGGAACGCGATCATTATGGACTTCCCCGGATTTAGTTTACCTACACTTATACATGTTATCTATGAGTAAGTTACAGATATGACAAGAAAGACGGCCGTTGTCGGCGTTGTAGTATTGTAATACTACGTATACAATTATCAATCAATACATAGTATTAATCAGACTTGCAGAATGTATGTTCGCGTAAAACTTTACAACTGCTGGACCGATTTTAATGCGGTTTACACTGTTAGATAGAGCGTGAAGAAATGAAGGAGGTTGTGTAAATTTTAATCCTTCGAAAAGGATGTTAAAATATAACTCTAAGATTTATTGTGAGTATGAATAAATAAAACGTGTTAAGAAAATCAGTATTTCTATTGGTATATCTGTCCTATGTAAGTCGGTATATTTCAGTATTTTTTTGAGGTGCCTCGGTATTTTCGTAAAATTTAATCTGGTCACACTGCGCTCTTAACTCTATGTGAGTGCTAATTAAACAAATCATAAAGATGTTATTTCCTGACACTAATAGTTTAAGAACTGATAGTAAGTATTAGTTTACATACATGAGCTGCTGCTTCTTCTTCTTCCTTTTTCCGCAACTCTTCAAGCTCCTTCTTAGTTAATCCTCTTGAACTCATGATTAACAATATTAGTTTAACTGTTGTTGTTTGTGTATTACTGTTATTTAAAATTGATTTCAAGCTTATCAAACATTTCGACGTGGCACATTGTAATAACAACAGGTATTCCTTAAAATATCTTCCATTCACGTATGTTTTGCACAATTTCAAAGCTAATTCATTCACGATAATCGTTTATTCAGAAAAAATAACACTAACCTAACCTATGCCGAACAGCTTTTTTTTTTTGGTTAATTTGTCCCTGTTGGGACGGGCAAAGGATTCTGAGTCCATACAGCCCTTTTTTTTTTGTTAAGTTCTCCCTTTTCAGGGAAGGCAAGGGAAACAATGCCCATACAGCCTAGTCTTAAGTTAAATTATTCTGTTTTTCTTTTTACATTAGAATGTCGGTGTGACGCATTCTAATATTTCTTAAAGTGTTTGGCACGAAATGTATCGAGCTGGCTTTTTCGATAAGCTTCTGTGAGGTAGTCAATGCTACAATAAAATTCTCACGTCCACTTGACCGGAATAGCGTATATTTTGACGATTCTACTAATTCTTCAGTTACGCAGACAGTTGTAACACAAAATCACACCAATTTTATTTCACAATATCCACTATGAACGAATTTAAGAATAATTAAAATAAGACGCCAACCACACTCGATGAAATCCCGCCAAAACTCTATGCCGAACAGCCGAAGCGATTGATTGACAGATCTGCGATTTTGACATGAAGTATGATTAATTTATATTATTTTTGCACCTGGAGCGTAGGTTTGGAACGTAGCCCTGTGGCCCTGACCACAAAGTAAAGTAAGGCCGTATACAGAAAGAAAGCCGAAAGCCGATCGGCACCGATCAGCGCCGATCGGCTTTATGTAGGAAGGATCGGCTTTCGGCTTTCTTTCTGTATACGGCCTTAGTATATCTTTTTTCTATTCGATTTTCTTTTTTAAATTGTATGAAACGTTACGTAAAGTGCGTCATTCGAGTCACCTTAGCTATGCTTTTCCGGTTCCGCCATTAAGTTTACTTTAGATATAATATAATACATATATTTTTGTTAACGAGCTTTGAAGGGCGGAAGAAGCCATACAAACGCATTTGTTGCTGGACTATATTTGATTTACCAATTCTAGGGGCTCCTGCTTATACTTGCGCTTTTTTGCAGCCCTTTCCATATATCTACTGTTATTTCTCAGTGCCTCCCATTTTTTTAAAATCGGATCTGGCAACACAGTTCATGTGGCCACTGATGCCAGATAGGGGGGTACCCCCAAATTTGGAGGGTTTTTAAAGGGATGGGGGAATAATTGGGGGGTAAACATTTTTGGGGGGATTAATGGAAGAAGTTTGGGGGAAACGGGGTTTTTTAATTACATTTTTTTATATAAAAATAAAACCACTTCATAAACTTTTAACCTAGAAAGAGTCGCGATCAATAGTTAATCAACAGTCTCTCTTTCTCATTCTGTATAGAGTATAACAAGGATAGACTGTAGTCATATTTAATTTTATTGAAAATTTTGAAAATAAATATATATAAATATAGATATCTATCAAGTAACTAAAATTTATAAAATAAAACCCGGTTTAGATTATATATTTATTGAAAAAGTATACATCAAAAAGACTTCGATGTAAAATTAAAAAAAGAGATATTGTGTTCTGTGCTATTTTCCTTTGTTGCGTGAAATGTTCCAGTTATTAAATGTATGGTGTAGCTTCCAGCTGAGTTTAGACTATATTTTTGTAAATTAATAAGTAAATGTACTGATACAAAGTCTTGAATGACACTTAGTCATAATATTTTTTAAAAATCTATATTTGTTATGAGTGTGTCGTCGCTACCACTAATGACTAGTCAAGTTTGCAGCAGTACATTTTACATAATTAGTGTTACAGCTGATACGTAACATGTTCGGTAAAGTAAGAGCAAAGTATGCTACCTTATGCCGGCACTTCACTTGGCTACTCATGTTTGGTATTTGTAAACTTGACATCTGGGGGCCATTCGCCTAACGGAAATGCTTTGAAAAACGCTAACGCTTACGATTTCATTTTGTTATTTCTGACCGCCTAAGGTTTTCAAATACCTCACGCTCATTATCTTCAATATTGTTATTACCAATGCAAAAGAAAAAAAAGAGCGCGAGACATTTGAAAACCTCAGGCGGCTAGAAATAACAATAACACAACAACAAAGCATTTCCGTTAGGCGAATGGCCCCCAGTCTGCCCTTTCCGATACTTGTTCAGTATCATACTGTCAGTATGATAAGGACAGACTGTCAAGTTTACAAATAGCAAACACGAATCGAAGTGCCAGCATTAAATTCAAATTTACATGACCAAACGTGTTTATTTATTTTCCGTTGACTAAAGTTAATTGTAGTCATGTCGGCACTTCACTTGGTATACTCGTGTTGACTATTTGTTAATAAGTCTCTCCTTGTCACTCCCTATAGAGTACGAAAAGAACAGCCTGATGTGAAAATGATAATTAGCACATACCTATACCAAGTGAAGTGCCGGCTTCACATAAAATAGCCTCTGAATACCCTTAAAATTATTTTATAAGTAGGTACTTAGAGATGCCACGTTATTCCTGCAACCCTAGTAAAAACTTTTTAGCTAACAAATATATTATTTTTGTTCAAGGTCAACGGTTAAAAATTACTTATATCCATTTAATACTTACATTAATATGAATATTTAAATAATTAGAATTTATATCAACGGAAATATTACACTATTATATGAATAACATGGTTTGTTTGTAAAAATTACTTAGATCATCATGTTATAGGACCTACGTTTACAGTGTTCTGGTACCTAGGTTAGACAGCCGCAGGTCAGGGTTATCCAAAACAGTCAAATTTCTCAAACTTAATTTGAGCTTTATTTCATTAAATATAAAAAGGACAATCGTTTGAGAAGATTCGACACTTTGTGGTAACTTGCTGTGGTGCCGATTGTTTACAAAGAATACTGATTACGCGTAAACAGATTCCATTACTAGGCATATAATATTTTCTCTAATTAATGTAAATAAAAAATATATGCATCAACTTATAAGGACTAATGATGCTAATTATTATCAATACTCATTAATTGTCGAAAATATTGAGTTATTACGTACTAACGATAACGTCAATACATTATACCCCAATGGTCAACAAAAAACGCAGGTGCACGACAGATAGCAATAGGCCCTATACCTGACCGAGGTATTCTAGTAACAAGTAAATACTTTTGTGCATTAACAAAGCTTATCTAATATGAAACATACCACAAATATTAAACGATTGTACTGTACAGCAACTTAAATTGTAAATTGTCTTATTCGTGTGTGTTCATAAGACATCTGTGTTACCGCCATGCGAATGCGAGAAGATCCCATGACGGTTATAAGACGGACTCGCGATACATCTCCTTCTTTAAAGTCGGTTAAAAATACTGCATGACATGACGTATGAAGATTCATTTAGTCCTCTATCTTTGTTCTTTTTAGATTTGTAAATTATAGCAGGTAATTAAATAATTGTACTTCATAAATTAAGAAATATTGCAATATTATATGAACAAATTCTGATAAGAAATAAATTTTAATGTTAAGATTCCAATCCAGAAATTGTTATATATATGTAATTTCAAAAATGTTAAATTCCTCGATAAAGGCCACAGATGGGTATTAGGTAATTCGTTATAGTAGAGAAAGAAATACAATTTAAATTAAAAAAAAATACAGCGCCACCGAGCGAGACAGAGTTTAAGAAAAATATTTTATGTAACTTATATTTTTATGGTAAGTATGTTTGAAAATTATAAATTTTTTAACTGTACAAGAAGTCTAGATCATTCGTTCAATCGTTTTCAAATAAACAATAATACATTTCATTATGCTTTTGTATATCTTACCAAGTCATCGATTTATTTTCAATTCCCAATTGCAGCATTCTAAATTTTTCTATATTTTTTTTCTTTTTAATTTTTATGTATTGGCCGTATTCTAATACCGGTACTTCACTTGGCTATTCGTGTTTGACATTTGTGAACATGACATCAGTCTGTCTTTTTCATTCCTTGTAGAGCATGATAAGGACAGACTGATTTCAAGTTTACAAATAACAAACAGGAATAACAAATGAAGTGCTGGTATAAGAAGACTTCGCACATACAAAATCTTCTTAAAACATTTTTATACAGTTATTATTCTAAAAATAATAATACAAAAACTTCATATTAGTAGCTTGTTTTTTTTTTTAATTTATTACACGGTAGGCACGCGCAGCAATAAGAAAAAGGACAAGGACAACTTTAGTGTAATTCCTATCACCAGTACCCACTGCCTTATAAATAAGTAATAATTTAGCAAAATATTTTATACTTCGAATGACAGTTCACCTTAATACTAGAGTCTGTGCGGAAAGAGAATGGGCGTGGCGAAAAACGGAAGTTACATTAAGATTTTTATATGGCAATCAAACCCAGCAATCTGTAAAACGTCAAAGTTTTGTATTGATACGGATTTGTTTGTTGTTGTGATTTCATGCGGTTTTTTGTATTTAATAATGTTTAAAAGGGGTAAAGCGCCCTCCAATCTAAATCCCATTCTCTTTCCGCACAGACTCTAGCAGTTTTTTTTTCATTTGACGTTTGTAAATTTGACAGCAGCATTCCCCTTTCATGTTCTCATGGAATAAAAAGGAGGGAATGCTGGCAAATTTAGATAAGGCAAATATGAAGATTCGAGTATTTAAGTAACTGAGGAAAAAAAATGTTATGAAAAAAAATGCAAAAGTACCTTCAACTTGTTGCATTAAAAAATTTGTTGTTTGCATATACTGTTTAATGCCGGCACTTCATTCGGCTATTCTTATTTGGTATTTGTAAACTTGACAAGTTGTCCTTATTATGCTTTGTGAGGAATGAAAAGGACAGACTGATGTCAAGTTTACAAATACCAAACAAGAATAACCAAATGAAGTGCCGGCAAAAGGTAAATCCATTGTTGATGATTATGTAACATTATTCCTGAACTCCCTTTCACTTAATTATTACAGTAACAGATACGCTTGCCTATGCCGGCTAGCTACATCAGCTTTTAAAGTAAAATAGAAGTTTATTGTCGCTGATCATAAACTTCTAAAATCTAAATGAGAGAATCGCTTGCACTAATTTTTCTTTTCTTTAGAATTATCTTCAATAGCAAAGAAAATGAGCGATTACCGTCTTCCATCAACTTCTCCCATGTATTGATTGAATACTGCAAAAATAATAAGGTAATAATGTTCTGTAGACAGGGCTTCGGATAGGCCGCTTATGGCACACAGTACCGTACAGCAGGGTCGTAGCCAGATTAGATTTTTAAGAAAGATGATAGATAGGTAGGACATAAGCAGTAAGATTTGCAACTACCCCCTAGAATTAGTAAATCATTTCAAAATATAGATCCGTAATAGGACAATAGTAATGTAAGGTAGGCCAATGCCACGTCCCGTACTACGGCCCTGCCGAACAGAAATTCGGAAAATTACCATTAATAACATCACATCTCAACAAGGTACACCACTACCGTCCAAATCAAATAATCAAAGTATGACAAACAACTTTATTCTATTAAATGCATGTCACCGAACATGTTGTACTATTTATTGACGATAATAAATCGATTGCCAATTGATTCATCGATAACACGAAAATGATAACATGTTATTATAGTACGCTAAATAAGAGAACTAATAAATTGTACTCGTATAATTTGATCATTAGACAACTATTAAAATAATTTTCACATACAATATACACTGAATATAATATAAAATTTCATTATGCTAGTGCGCCGGGAACGCCTGGGAGAGCTTTTGTGCTCCGTACGCTAATGACAGAATTTAAAACTGGATTTATATTTAGTGGTACGGAAGCAGCCGCTCTAACAAGTGTTTCCGACGTATGATATTGTGTCACTCTGGCGCAAGGTAACAGAGTCGGTTTCACCGTCACAAAAAATCTGTCAAAAATGTGCAGTCGGACTGAAAGACAACTTCCGCTTAAAAGCTGTAATAAGACATTGATTAATATAAGTTAGTGAAACCGCCTCTAGTATGTGGACGAGTCGCCTTAGCAGAGTGTTTATACTTTACAATGTCCCCTTTATAATATAACAATAATGATAGAACACAATTCGTAAGGGTTCCAGTTAGAATAAATTTTATTTCATTTTCAAATTTAATAATTCATTAGGATTAATAAATTGCCATAATAATATATTTCTCTGTTCATTAATGGTATACAATTGATGCAAAAGTAGTGCTATGTTACCTATCTAATTAAATTACTTAGTAGATTGAAAAAAAAATACATTTACACGATTATTTCATTATTCACAGAATATACGAAATATAGAATTCGTAGAAAACATAGTAATACTTAAACATATAATATAAAGCCTTGGACATACTTCAGACGGAGACAGGAATAGCACTACTTTTAAGCTCGACAGTACTCAGAAACATTGCATTGGTTGTGTACATGGTTTGACAAGCACAAATCTCTTAGCTGCAGTGTTAATATAAACATTTCCACTGTGCAAATAACAAAGGGAAGTCTTTAAAGTCATATAAATACATTAACTGTGCTTTAAACTGAACCGCGGTACAGTGCTATTAAAAATTCATGACAACTGTGAAGTTAGCAACAAGCTCAACTATGCGCAGTTTCAGTTCAGTGACATCCCGCGCGCGCCAAGTTCGTCCTACAATTCGTTTACAGCGGCGCGACTTGTGCTTACTACATAGCCACCATGAAGTTTGTATCACACTATATTATAAAGTTTTGTGAATACAAAAAACAGTTTTTGTTTTCTTTATTTATTAATTGTCGTGGTTTGCGCTCGGAGCGAAGTCGCGAGTGTGTCAACATTAATCTTAGTCTATCTGTATATTTGTTTGTTTGTATGACGTCATAAGAGTCAGCGTGGTTTCGGGGAGTGATTCAGGCGTCAGATTCAGCGCCCTTTAGCCGCAGCCGCGCGAAGTCCTCGAATATGATGTCATCATCCTGTTCTTGTCCGTTCTCGTCCCTGGCGTATAATAAATATGTCACTTTAGTATGTACTACAGGTTATTTATTTCCTTTTGCAATGCAATAAATGCAATTAAAATTTATTTGTTAATTTATTAAGGTTGCTATTTCAATGCCTTGATATTTTTTTACCGATGATACTAGTCATCATCGATCCTTACGTCATCAGGACGGACGGCAGGCGGGACAATATTATTTATTGCAGTATACGGAGCAGTAAGAAACTGGATCCGGATCGCACAACACTAAACAAATTGGCACACCATGGAGATGAAATCTACCCAGCATTGGGTAGATAAAGGTTCCTAATAATAAGAGGAGTGATACGCACGGGCGCGGGTCGTGCTGTATGAGGTCGTGGTCGGGTAAGGGGGGGTCATCAGGACGGACGGCTGGCGGGACTATATGTTATTGCGATATATGTAGAAGAAATAAACTGGATCCGCATCGCACAACAACGAACAAATTGGCACACCATGGAGATGACCTATACTCAGCAGTGGGTAGATAAAGGTTCCTAATAATAAGAGGAGTGATTCGCACGGGCGCGGGTCGAGCTGTATGATGTCGTGGTCGGGTAGGGGAGGGGTTTATCAGGACGGACTATATGTTATTACGGTATACTTAGAAGAAATAAAATGGATCCTGATCGCACAACACCGAACAAACTGGCACACCATGGTGATGACCTATACCGAGCAGTGGGTAGATAAAGGTTCCTAAGAATAAGAGAGGTGATACGCACGGGCGCAGGTCGAGCTGTTTGAGGTCGTATTCGGGTAAGGGGGGGTCATCAGGACGGACGGCTGGCGGGACTATATGTTATTGCGGTATACGTAGAAGATATAAACTGGATTTTGGATAGCACAACACCAAACAAATTGGCACACCATGGAGATGATCTATACCCAGCAGAGGGTAGATAACGGTTCTTAAGAATAAAAGGAGTGATACTCACAGGCGCGGGTCGAGCTGTATGAGGTCGTGGTCGGGTAGGGGAGGGGGGTCATCAGGACGGACGGCAGAAGGAACTACATTATTTTATTGCAGTATACGTAAAAGAAATAAACTGAATCCTCACCGCACAACACTGAACTAATAGGGTATTTGACAAGTTTTAGAAAATGATCTCACGTTATTGACTAATGTTTATGGAGTCCATAAAAAGTGGATATTCATCATTCTGTTGTATATTCCAGTAAAAATAACCAAATCAAAAACTCCATTTTCAAGTTGCCGCGAAAACGTTTCTCTGGACAATACGGCGTCTTACTAGTGTGTGACGTCACACGACTGATATTAAAACGTCAAACGATACAATGTAATGGCACTTTAACCGGAACTTCACTTGCGTGTGACGTCATTTAAGGCTCCGCCAATCCCAAACGTTTTGGGTCACGTGACAATAGATAAGAAAACTATTATCTTTTTTGTTAGTTTTAGTAAAATTATGAATATTTTTTTTGTAAAAATAGTAAAAACCCCTGCCAATATTCATTCTAAACACAGATGCTAACAATTGGCACTTTATCTTTAACACTGTCAAATACTCTATTGGCACACAATGGAGATGACCTGGGTGGATGAGAAATGGGTAATTAAAGGTTCCTAAGAATAAGAGGAGTGATACTCACGGGCGCGGGTCGAGCTGTATGAGGTCGTGGTCGGGGCCGGGCGGGGCTGCGGGCGCGGGGCGCGGCTCCTCCTCGGGCTTCGGGTGCATCAGTATGAACGGCAGCTCGGCGCTCAGGTCCCTGTTCGATCACCACAACATTCCATACATTGGCGACGATTCTGGCATGATTCTCTAAACTTAAAACTTTTAACATGAGTCCTCCCTAAAGAAAATTTTATTAGAAAAATTACACGCGGACCACGCAGCAGACGGGACTCGAACCCGCACCCGGGCGAATGCACTGACCATTTTCTGCAGTATTTCTCAGGCTGCAAGGCAGCGCCATCTTTTCACGTTGTATTTAACCCAATATGTCAAATGAATACCTTTACAAATATTAAACATTTGAAAGAAGAGTTAGCAATTATAGTTTATATCTAATTTCCTTAGATTTAAGCATATAGCAGTGAAATGCTAAAAATAAAAACATAACTGTCAGTCTCCCCTTTTCATTCTGAGAATGACAAGGATACACTGTTGTCAAATTTAAGTTTCGGTTTAGAGAATCATGTTAAAATCGACACCATAGTTATTTAGTCTTAAATCGACTTCAGTCGCGAATTATATATGTAGGCCTAATCTCTAACAGGTTTAAACAGGTGCAAGTGATGATCATCGAGCTATTTATTGATCCCCTACGCTGTATCATAACGCCAATAAGAAACTTGTCCTGAAAAGCATCGGCGAATATGCAATTTTCACTTCAGTCACACACTGTGAATGGAAAAAAAGTTAGCGAATAGGCCTACCGGTCTTATATGAATTTATATCGCGATACATTTAAATTTGCGCAAATATCTCAATAAATTGGGGTAAAAAAAATTAAGAAGAAGCAGATCAGGTTTATGCATTTTTTTTTGCTATTGAGAGCTTGCCACCAGCACCAAGTCGCAAGCACTTATGTTTTATACTATTGGTAAGGTCAATATAAATATAAATATCAACGATTATTTGAAATTATTGCGATTGCGGTCCAGTAAACTAGATAGTTTTAAAACTTCTATCTGACCGATTGATTTTGCAGCCTTAAAGCAATTGGTGTATAAGGGGCCGTTCAAGTATTACGTAAGCAGATTTATTACAATTATTTACCCCCTCCTCCCCTTGTCAGCAAAAGTAAGCAAAGCTCTTACCCCTCCCCCCATCCTTACGTAAAACATTGGTACCTATATGCATTTTTCCTTTAATGTATTCTGTTTCTTTTATTGATTCATGAGCTTCATGACCAGCAGTACTTAAAAAGGCTTAATCGATGATGCTGAAGTAATCACCATCTCTACCCCCCACCACCCCAAGTCATCAAAAATAAGCAAAGCAGAGACCTCCCCTGCCCCCCTATAGTGCTTATGTAATACTTGAACAGCCCCTAATGTATATCTCTACCCCCCCCCCCCCCCAAGTCATCAAAAATAAGCAAAGCAGATACCCCCCCTGCCCCCCTATAGTGCTTATGTAATACTTGAACAGCCCCTAATGTATTATAATCAGAACCGTCTTAAACAAATATCACAAAAGGCAAAGCAAAAGATTATGTGCTACTGGCAAAAATGTAATATATGAATCATTTATAATGCTATACAAAAAAATTAAAAAAATCGACATATAAATAATGTACTGAGTATTGAAATGAAATTGGACTCACCCGCCTAAAGGTCCTAGACAAAGTTTCACTTTCACTTTGTATTGAACTATGATACCTAGATTCTCTCGTTGCGAGGGGTCCGCTATCCTGGAAGCAAATTTCTTTATTGATTAACAGTAAAGATTAAAAAAGAATATAAAGAGAACTAATAAAGCTCGTAGGATAACAATTTTCTAAAAGCCCCCACTTGTCCTTATAGTTGGCCAGCAGCTATACTATGTAATGTATATGTCGTAGGATGATTAAATAAATCGAATTTGCGCGAAATTTCTACTGTTTTCGCAAAAACGCGAAAGATTAGACAACGGCAATGATATTTCTCAATCATACTGAAAAAAGATAGGATTTTTGCGAAAGTGCAAGTGTCCTCAGTAAGATTGCGAAAAGAATCGTTAACTTATTATAAAAAATGCTTGGGTTTTTGGGTTCACAGTAGGTTAGGTTAGTGTAGGCCTAAAAAGCCTTTACAATAAGATTAAACAATGTGAGCGCCATTATCTAATTATCCGTGTTCGAATCAAAATCTTGAGTTGCCCGCCCAACGCGAGCCCCCACTTGTCCTTGTTGTCGGCCAGCAGCTTTACTATGTAATGTGTATGTCAATAAGCTAATGTGTGGTCTCACAGCGTGCTAGAGGCGAGGTTGGTGTCCTCGTGCTTGAGCTGCCCGTCCAGCGCGAGCCCCCACTTGTCCTTGTTGTCGGCCAGCAGCTATACTATGTAATGTGTATGTCATAAGCTAAAGTGTGGTCTTACAGCGTGCTAGAGGCGAGGTTGGTGTCCTCGTGCTTGAGCTGCCCGTTCAGCGCGAGCCCCCACTTGTCCTTGTTGTTGGCCAGCAGCTATACTATGTAATGTGTATGTCATAAGCTAAAGTGTGGTCTTACAGCGTGCTAGAGGCGAGGTTGGTGTCCTCGTGCTTGAGCTGCCCGTCCAGCGCGAGCCCCCACTTGTCCTTGTTGTCGGCCAGCAGCTATACTATGTAATGTGTATGTCATAAGCTAAAGTGTGGTCTTACAGCGTGCTAGAGGCGAGGTTGGTGTCTTCGTGCTTGAGCTGCCCGTCCAGCGCGAGCCCCCACTTGTCCTTGTTGTCGGCCAGCAGCTATACTATGTAATGTGTATGTCATAAGCTAAAGTGTGGTCTTACAGCGTGCTAGAGGCGAGGTTGGTGTCCTCGTGCTTGAGCTGCCCGTCCAGCGCGAGCCCCCACTTGTCCTTGTTGTCGGCCAGCAGCTATACTATGTAATGTGTATGTCATAAGCTAAAGTGTCGTCTCACAGCGTGCTAGAGGCGAGGTTGGTGTCCTCGTGCTTGAGCTGCCCGTCCAGCGCGAGCCCCCACTTGTCCTTGTTGTCGGCCAGCAGCTATACTATGTAATGTGTATGTCATAAGCTAAAGTGTGGTCTTACAGCGTGCTAGAGGCGAGGTTGGTGTCCTCGTGCTTGAGCTGCCCGTCCAGCGCGAGCCCCCACTTGTCCTTGTTGTTGGCCAGCAGCGGCGTCAAAGTGAATACCTTGCTCAGTGTGAACCCGGGCCCAACCGGGCATCCCTCTCTGGACAGACAAAAACACATGCATTAAATTAATGTGAGGCTAAATAGTACGTGCTTGCCATACTAGAGAGTGGACTAAAAGTTCCTTGTACAAAATTAATATGAAATAAAAGGAAGTGTGAGAGAGAAAAGCAATCTGAGACTATTCGTAGCCAATATCTATTGGCTGCTTTTTCTAGTAAGATGTCAATTTCATACAAGTATCGCTCAGTCCGTTCTCTATGTCTATGGCGCTAGCACTACACTAGCGTCATTATAAAATCGCGTTATCGATTGTCAAATTTTTGGTTAGGATAAAAGACAGGTCATCTTTTATTTATTATACTACAGTGTTGCCACACTTTGCCTTACCTGCATCTCGCACGTAGAAATGATATCATTTTTAAAATATTTTGGTCTTATTCCTCATTCACTATGTATAGGAAAAAGCTCGATGGCGCAGCTGGTTAGCGCGTTCGGTTTGTGATTGTTAAAGTTAAGCAACTTTCGCAATGGCCGGTTTTTGGATGGACCAAAAATTTTTTATCGCGAACTAGTTTCAACTACGGAAGGCACGTTAAACTTTTAGTCCTACTTCTGCAATCGTTAGCACCTCCACCGATCCGCACTTGGCCCGTGGGTCATGGCTCAATCTCGCAGCAGTGTGGAAAGCATTAGTGTGGTGGGGACATTAAAGGCTGATAATTATGATGTGGTAAATAAATGTGTATAGGAAGGCATGATGCGCTTCACCTAACTCCGCGCGGTTATAAAAACGTGCCATAGATTGTCGGATTTTTGATATGGTTCAGACTAAAATCCAGCGGTGCGTGAGTAACTTCTAATTATCTCGTGTTATTCTTAATAACTAGAATATTTGGTCTAGTCATTTACTATGTATGTGGACAGATAATAACAAATCCTGAATGTATGTCAGAAAAACATCAGCCTGCTTGTCTTGAGTGAAGCTTATACCTAATTATGTCATTTTAAAAATAATTTAATTAACTCTGTCTCTCGTATCATCTTTACTGGAAATTGATTTACAATCACTGCATCAGGCTAAATGCGAAATATATTTGAAAAAAGTAAACCAAAAACCATTAGTAAAAAAATCAAACTAAAAATATTTTTATTTGAACACCAAAACGATGGTTATTTAATAATGACCCTTAAAAAAAGAAGAACTGGCGGAATATACAAAATAGTTTTTATATATTTTTCAAGACGGTTTGTCCAACATTACATACATTTTTTATTAGTTTCAATACATACATACCTAGTTTAAAAACATAATAAAACGTTTGAATATTCCGTCGTTACTGATAAAACTTCAATGTTAATAAGCGACTCAAAAAATATTTAATATATATATACTTATTAGATTATAATTGTAGCACTATAATAAATTGTAAGAGAATATGATGTATGTGTATTCATTATGTCTATAAGAGATCATGCACTCACACGCAAACTTTTACTTACAGAGATTGTATATTTAAATTCTTACTGAACGTCTTTAGGAATGGGAAATTTAATATTCTCTTCACCTTGGTTTTCGCTTTCCTGAATCAGAAATGTTTCGTCAAATGTGTCTGCGTGTTCACACATGGAAAATATATAACATACATATAATAATACAAGAAAATTAAATAAACTTAATTATTACATTAATACGTGTGAAAAAAAAATGGTGCCACTTTTAATGTACATTTGCTTATGGATGGAGGAGCGTGAGATATTGTATGAAAACATTGAAAACAAATGAATGTGTACGAATCGTGTCTCGGCGTGAATATAAATAGAAAAATAGATAATTATCATTTAACATATTACCATGCATTTGATACACACACACACAAACTGACTTTTTGACAGGAGACAATGAATAAAGAAGTATAACTCTTTAACAAAAAAACAAAAGAAAAACATATTTCAGACAAAAGGCGACCATTACTATAGTAATTATATAAAGAATATATATTTTTAAAGCTACAATATATAACAACACATTCAAGGACGAAATTAAGATTAACTTGAAATTAACCTTTTCATTTTTTCCACCTAGAATTTGAGTGTATAAAAATATTCACTATAAATTTTAAAAGTGGCTGTTGAAAACCAATTAAGGCGGATATCAGTCATTTGGGAAAATAGCTTCCTTATTTTACTGGTAAAGATAATTTATGAAATGCAAGTCACATGAAACAAAACACTATTCGTAATACTCGAAGGACCATTTTTTATATTTCGTGATTTTTTAAGCCTCATTGTTTTAAAAACAGACATATCCTGTGAGTAAAACAGGAGAACATAGGAGGGTCTGTAAGTTAAATAGACTAATTTTTTGAAAGCAAGTTATACTTCAGAGCAAGGGTCACCACAGATGTCCGTAAACTGGCGCAGGGACACCTTGATGCGCTTCACTGACCAGTTTGAGTCAAACAATAAAGACGATCGCACATATTATATCCCCACCGTACGGGCCGCATTTAAAATTCTTTAGGGAAATGCGGCGCATTTGGCGCGTGCTGAGTGTACGGTGCGGACATATGTGCTACCATCTTTACAACAACTAGGGGGAGACGGGTATAGCATACTGACTCGCTCTCCGCCTCGGCGACGGTGCACTTGTACTGCGCGGTAGAGAACAGGCATAATATGTTGGAGTTAAACAATATCAACAACTAGATGGAGACAGGTATAGCATACTGACACACTCTCCGCCCCGGCGACGGTGCACTTGTACTGCGCGGTGGAGTACAGTCATATGTTGGAGTTAAACAATGTCAACAACTAGAGGGAGACAGGTATAGCATACTGACTCGCTCTCCGCCTCGGCGACGGTGCATTTGTACTGCGCGGTGGAGAACAGACATATGTCCGCGAACTGGCGCACGGACACCTTGATGCGCTTCACGGACCGGTTCGAGTTATTCGCTATGTGCACGTTTACCGCTATGTTCTCGCCGTGGTGGTATAATTCCTGTGCGACAGACAAAACAATTTATACAGAATTTTCAAAATCATTTTCAATATTTGTTTCTTATAGTAGGGAAGCCCAAGCGGAGCTTTTTGGATTTACTCGAGCGCGGCAGAATAACATATGGGGAGCAACCATGCACCTAGTTAAGTACTCCCACCATACTTGAGCCCTCTATGTAGGGCCGAACGTCTAGGGCAGCAAAACAAAATTTCAACGAACGGTCATGACTTTTGGTCAAATCGTCAGTCTTTTGAATATAAGCTACTAGAGGGTTCATGTAACGTTTCTAAGAACGGAAAAAATATTGATCTGCCGCGGTTTGCATGATTTGGGGGTTGGCTGTATGAAGGGGTAGAATATAGGAACAAATAACCGAGCGCGTCAGACATTGAGAAGGGATGTTACGTGAATCCTCCAGTAGCTCCTATTCAAAAGACTGACGATTTGGACCCGAGCAAAAGTCATAGCTGTTTGTTGAAATTTTGTTTTTGCTGCCCTAGACGTTTGGCCCTACATGGATGGCTCAGGTATAGTGCAAGTAGTGCAAGGTTGCTCCCCATATGTTATTCTGCCGCGCTCGAGTAAATCCAAAAATCCCCGCTTAGGCTCCCCTACTATTAGGATTTCACGCACACCACTCGTTCAATAAAACAAGTTTCAACGGTATAGATGCGAAACGTCAATAAATAAATAAATCAGTGCATCTATACCATTAAAACTGGTTTTATTTTATCATTTTTAATCTGACCTTTAATGCTTTAGCTAAGGCGGAGCAAAATTACTGTTCCCCACTTGGGTTTCTCTAACAAAGCGACATTTGTCTAATAATGGGGTTTATATCTAAAGAAAATATAACTAGAAAAAATTCCACGCGGACCAGGCAGCAGACGGGACTCGAACCCGCACCCTTCGCAATCCGGGCGAAGTCCCGTCTGCTGCCTGGTCCGCGTGGAATTTTTTCTAGTTATATTTTCTTTAGATTTAAACATCAAGCAGTTACATGCTTTAAAAATAATAAAAATTATAATGGGGTTTATCTATGGGAAAATTTTACGCATTTATTATACCAATCTGCCACAAATTAGACATTTCTTTTTATTATATGTCCATTTCATGTTTCTTATCAATGTCAATACGCAATCTCGCTATTTTTGAACCCCAGATGTTGAGAGAAAGTGGAGTCAAGTGGAGCATATAGCTGACGGGGCACTAAATGACATTTAGATTGTACTGGAACATTTGACTGGAACATTGTGCCGTTCCAAGCAACACCAATAGGTACATGAGGTATAGGTTAATATTTTACATATGTATTTTTATGCTTTAGAAAAGTCGCAAGACATTTATTATGATGCGAAGAATATACAAAACTGTGAATTCAGTTTAATTTTTAACAAATTTTTAGCTGTTTTATTTGGTACCTTGTCTAGCGACGCTTCCAGGTACAGTTTGTTGGGGCTCATCATGAACTCTTTGGACACCTCGACTGACGGCTGCTCGCCCTGTTTACTCGGCGCGTACATTATCTTTCTGATCGCCAATCGAACTGAGTTTCTGTTGACAAACAATTTTTTTAAATTCTTTCTTAAGGTTAAGCGGGAATTGACAAACATTAAAATAGTGAATCATTATTTAACGACCTACGTGGTCGAGTTCTTTGTACGACGGGTTTTAAGGTGACGCCTACTCGAGAGGCCCCGGGTTTGAATCCCGGTAGAGGCAGATGTTTGTGTGATGAATACGAGTATTTGTACTCCAGTCTTGGATATTTAATATGCATTTTCTATATAAATATACGTATATATGTATCAGTGTATGTATTCTATCCGTTACCCTAGTATCCCATAACAGAAGCCTACGAGCCAACGCTTTGAGCTCGTAGTCGACGCCGCTTGAGCCCGATGTGGACACTACCGGCCCGGAACTATTGTACAATACGCACCTCTTGTGAGGCTTGTCATCCTGCGAGTCGGCCACGAACGCCTTAAGCTCGTAGTCGACGCCGCAGGGCTTGTGGCCGATTTGGATACTAGCGGGCGGGGAGTACAGTACGCACCTCTTGTGAGGCTTGTCATCCTGCGAGTCGGCCACGAACGCCTTAAGCTCGTAGTCGACGCCGCAGGGCTTGTGGCCGATTTGGATTCTAGCAGGCGGGGAGTACAGTATAGTACGCACCTCTTGTGAGGCTTGTCATCCTGCGAGTCGGCCACGAATGTCTTGAGCTCGTAGTCAACGCCGCAGGGCTTGTGGCCGATTTGGATACTATCGAGCGGGGAGTACAGTACAGTACGCACCTCTTGTGAGGCTTGTCATCCTGCGAGTCGGCCACGAACGCCTTGCGCTCGTAGTCAACGCCGGAGGGCTTGCGGTCGATTTGGATACTAGCGGGCGGGGAGTACAGTACAGTACGCACCTCTTGTGAGGCTTGTCATCCTGCGAGTCGGCCACGAACGCCTTGCGCTCGTAGTCAACGCCGGAGGGCTTGCGGTCGATTTGGATACTAGCGGGCGGGGAGTACAGTATAGTACGCACCTCTTGTGAGGCTTGTCATCCTGCGAGTCGGCCACGAACGCCTTGAGCTCGTAGTCGACGCCGCAGGGCTTGCCGGTGTCGCCGGGCGCGGGCTGCAGTGTCACTGAGGCGGGGCAGTGCGGCGGCAGCTCGAAGTAGAACGGGTGCGCCGCGGGGCCCAGCTTGCGTACTAGACGCTCCTGCAGCCTGGTGAGAGGCCGCTTCGCGCTGCTCGTCGGTGGGTAAATCTGATAGTAACAAGTCAAATATTTTATTCAGATTGGAAGCACAATGCAACTTATTTTTCAAAAAACGTACAATGTTTTGCCATGCCGCCATTTTATGGACATTTATTTAGCTGTGAAGAAAAATAGGCAAAAATATCTCCTCATTCTGATCCTAAAATAAGCTTATTTTTTTTTTATGCTAGCCTAGCACATCACATGGCTATTCGTGTTTGTTATTTGTCATTTTGACAGAAGATCGTCCTTACCATACTCTATAGGGGGTGAAAAATAAAGACTATTGTCAAGTATACGAATTGACATGTGAAGTGCCGATATTATTCGAAGTTTGCTGTTACAATACCATTTTAGAAGAACTAGCAGCGTTTGCGTTAACTTCAGTTTTTTAATTCCTCATGAAACTAACTTTTCCGAGATAAAAAGTCTCCATCCAGGTAATAAACTATACGTGTGTTAAATTTCATCCAAATTCGTTCAGCCGTTTTGAGTAATTGAGCGTGATTTAGTTAAAAACATACAATCTTAATCAAACTTTTTATTTGAAAGAGTTTAATTAAATGTCGTGTTACACAAAACCATAAACGGTTTAGTTATCTCCAAATGGCTTTATTTATTTCAAACAATGAATATTGGAATTTTCTATTACTTGGTCTCCATCCATGTACCATAAATTAATCTATCTTTTCCAATGGATCCCAATAAATAACAATTGTGTTATAGGTAGTCACATGTTCATCATAAATTGTTATTGGTTCAATCACATCATGTGAGTTACTCAAGATTCGTCTGTTATCGACTGTCTAGGAGTATGTGTATTTTATTGCATCAATTAAATTACAATTAGGTCGTGGTAATTAATATCAAATTATGCAACATACGTATGTTAATAATGAGTGAACTTATTGTATGTGAGGATAAGAAAACTAAATTAATATTAACATTGTATTTTAGTATGAATTACTTGGTCGCCAGTATTTATACATAGTAGGTATTAGGGCTTTTGTTAACAAGTCGACTACCCAGCCCGGTGCCGGCTAAACTTTTTCAATAGCACGATTTGTACCAATCCCGAACCGTCGCAAAAGATTTCCAAAGTGTCCCATACCTAACTCACGGCCATATGGCAACTATGGAGGTTTAGAGCCCTCATGGTAGCCTAGGTGGGCAGTTTTTTTTTCATACAAACGGTCTCAACTGATTCCTCCTTGATTTTTATCGCTAAAGAATTGATTTTCATATATAAAATAATATTTTACTCATTCTATGCTCCTATGTCTTCCTTTTTTCGATAACTTGTGTTTCAAGGAAACTAGAAGCCCTCAAAATGCCATAAATAAACAAATTTTTATCACCACTTAATAACGTTTAGTGTGGAGATTTAATAAGCATTTTCAAAAAACAAAACATAGGAGGCATAGTATAACTACTTATTATTCTATGGGTAAAATTTATTTTACATATATCTAATTTTCGAGGAGGAAATCGCTGAGAGCCAAATCTCGAATTTTGCTTTTTTATACGCAATTTTCAGAGTTAGTATTGTTGTCCCTATCGCACGGTATTTGCCAATGCGTGACAGCAATAGTTTTTTCAAATACCCATTTCTCAAATGTCTGTCAGCTCGCGTCTGCTCATAACGATACCGGCGATAGTGACGGTTTTGTGATCAACATGCTTAGCCGTCACCGGCCCGGGTTGAAACCGTGCCTAGACTCGGCGGAAAACTGGTAATGCGCTTGTTCACGAGAACGGTTTATAGAACACGTAGTCCTAGTGTCAAACCGTCGCTAGCGCCGATGTCGTTACCGGACCGGATCGCGGCCGTTACTTGTCTGAAAAGCTTGCGGTCCTTCACGTACTCAGGGTCGATCAACACTACCCCGTATTTGTATGATGGGATATCCAACGATTACCTTATATCCAACGATTTAGAAATAATATGGAATACGAACTGCGTTAAAAAGTGGTTCCACATAAACTGCGATCAATTAATTAGGCGAGGCGATAAACTGCGATCATGGGATTGGTACAATTAACTAGCGAATGTATGATTGGACAAAACACTTTTTTTTCATGTCTCTGTGTATCACTTTAGTATTAAAGTTTAGTTGTATTAGTTTGGAACTATGTTTTGGCAGCCTTTGTAAGAGGGTAATGCTTCCATATCATTTCTAATTCGTTGCTTTTATCGCAGAACTTGTTCTGTCGTAATATTATTGCATGCATATCAGCTAATGACCTCAACTTCAACAAGATTCTGCCAGAAAGAGGGAAACCCTGTATACTATACCTGCTCTGCAGCCATATACAGATCCTTTCTGAAGGTGAGCCCCAGCACATCGAGGTCCTCACGCTCATACCGGCACCCTTGTATGCTATACCTCTCGGCCATGTATAGGTTCCTCCTGAAGGTGAGTCCCAGCACATCGAGGTCCTCGCGGTCACACCGACACCCTTGTATACTATACCTGCTCTGCGGCCAGATACAGGTCCTTCCTGAAGGTAAGTCCCAGCACATCGAGGTCCTCGCGCCCGTATCGGAACGCGGCCAGCACGTGCCCGAACACCTTGCGCTCCTTCACGTACTCAGGGTCGATCAGCACTACCCCGTCTGCAACCAATCGTGTCACTGTATGGCGTGAATCAAACTTAAAGACGACTTCAAGTGTTGCGGCGATAGATAAAGAGAATGGAATGGGCGACACTTGTTGTCTGTAGTTAATGAAAAAGAGCGATGGCGGGACACAAACTTTTGGCCGCATGTTCGCTCTATCACTCTCACGCTTAACTGCCCAGTTTCCCATACAGTTGAAAAGGGCATCATCATTTCAGTCTTAATGTAGGGTAACTAGGGTCGCAGCCGACATAGTAAACGAGCTGTAAGGAGCAGATGCGCAGATGTCCTCTTAAACCAGAATAGAGAATAATTTAATGAATTTTTGCACCTGAGTTGTAAGAAGATCACTGGTGCCGTGACTGGTGCATTATATTTACGTACCGTATTCAGTCGCCCTCGCCCTTATTAAAAAATACGGAATGCAGTAGGTATGCTTCTGAAGCTTCTATTAAAGTAGCCCGATTCATTATGTACGAGGTACACATAACAAGCATGGCTATATATTGAAATTATATGATAAAGAATTTGACCCGGGACCCTAAAGATTATGATTTCTGGATGTATGCCAACGCTTTTGCCTCTCACGGCTATTGAATATGTCGTTAAAGACTTGGAAATCGAACTAGATAAACTGAAGAGATCGATTTTGAGCACTTGAAAACACCTTGTTCAGCTTAACATAAAATATCCTCTCATAATCCATAGATAGGCAAAGAGTAGGTAAGGATACGTTAATCCCATCAAAAGATTAACTGGTTAGAGGCCGACGGGAACCGTTAGGCCTGTTTACATATTAAATAACACTTATTGTATAGAAATTAAACATAAAATTATCAATCACCCAGTGACTGGTGAGGTGAGGGTCAGCAATAATTTTATATATCTGACAAAGCTGTAATCAATATGGGCGGCTATATCCGCGCCTCTTTCATGTACGGATTTCAAACAGGAATTTTATTCCCATCAAAAATGTTTATAAATGGATTTCGTTAAATCAATATTAACCATTAATGGATTTTTCGTCTAATCTTTCGAATTAAAAACGCCAATAAAACCATTTCACGGCTGCCCATTTCAGTCCTTGCCAAAGGGGCTTTTGAATATGAAGCCACGCGATAAAACTCTCAATCATAACATTTTAATTATCACTTCTGGCACGTACCGTAAACAGCGCTATCTCGCGATTGTTCTTTTTATACAAGCCCCGGTGAGATAGATAACTTGGGCTCTGTTGATACGTCTAGTAGGTACGAGTTGATATTGAGTACAAAAAGTTGATAATAATCTTGCTCCATGAGATTCTTAACTCCGTTAGTATACTTCTGGCAAACCACCAACAGTACTACACAATAGTTTACTTTAAAGTGGAGGATGATTATCATCAAAATTCAATCTCCCTCTTCCGAGCAAAGACCCCCAGCCCCCCTAAAATCTTAAATAGAACGTCAGTCCAGCTATTAATAAAGAATAGAAAATAATAGATAGATTAAGAATAGGAAAGCGCAACTGAGCGCTAAACTTCGAGCAGGAAATTCGCTACACCCTAAATATTTTGCCTCACTCGGCCTAGTTCGTTGTACTTAAGATGACCGTTTTAATAGGTATAGATTAGTGCGTCCTAGGTACTGGCAATATACACAAGAGAATAGAAAGCTCAAAGATGCTAAAACCAACTCTTAAAACGGTGACTAGAGTAGAAAGATTACAGAAGCTTATGGCACGCGGTCAGAGAACGTGCCTCTGGATAATCCATTCCATTATAAAAAGCTTTTTGTTTGCATTTAGTTTTACAGAGGCTAACATGCAGACATTTACATTGTACAGATTCGAGGTAACTTTTTTTACTCCCTACTTTCTTTGCAGAAAATAATGGGATAGACAGATGAATATTTTAATCACAATCGTGTTCAGTAAACAGAAGTTATTGTTGATTATTGCGAAACATCTTTCTAGTTCTCTATCATCTAAACTAATAATGTTGCCTTCAAATAGTAGACTAAGCACGATTTGGATTAAGCTACATTGATTACCAATAAACAAACAAGTTAAACTCACCAATCGGGTCTACATGTGTTATGTGGTCCACGAAATCCCTCTTTCCTAAATATACTGTTATCTGAAATTAAATAAAACATCTTATATAATTTAAACTGATTTTCAGAGAAAGACTTCACTGTCTTAAGTCCTCTATGCATTATCCATCTTGCTGTATCCAGCATGCGCATCATTTCTGTATTCGTAACAGAGATCCTGTATCTCACCATCTCTTTTACGTGTATAGCGCTGTCCCACATGCTGGATCCAGCAAGATGGATAGTGCGTAGAAGACTTTCGATTGCTTAAACTTTTAGATGGGCTTTAATAAATTTCAACATTCATCTTTAGATTCTGGAGTCCCAGGCATTTTGTGACCTGTTTCCGCCATTAAGAAAGTATTTGACGACCTCCGTGGCCGAGTGGTATGTTAGCCGGGTTTCAATGTGTCGCCTACTCGAGAGGTTCCGGGTTCGAATCCCGATGGCGGCATATGTTTCTTATATATGTATCAGTATATGTATTCTATCCATTACCCTAGCATCCCATGACACAAGCCTACAGTGCTTACTTTGGGACTATAGCCTACTTCCAAATTGTTGTGAATGTCGAAAATATTTATTAATTTATAATTAAGTTAGGTACCTTTCCATTGGGCGAGCTCTTCTTGAAGACGCGCGTCGCTTGCCGCTGCTTGTTGCTGCCTGTGTCGTCCATGCTGCCGCCGCGCCCTCCGCACCACTGTAAGTATTCATTATTTATTAAAGACGCTGGTTTTATGTCTGATGCCTTTACCCTTAAATTTTTACGACTTTGGAACAGCCTCCCTGACTCCATAAGAAAGACACCTAATAGGTACATTTTTAAAAAGAATATTCATGCACTTCTTCTGGAAAGCTTTCCCAGTCTCATCATCAATATATTTTATATGTAGGTATGTATGTAATGTGTGCATGTACATATACTTAATTATTATAAATAAACGTACGAAAACAAAGATACGTACTTTTTATTATGGTATGTTTGTACTCAAGTCGCGTTCGTGTATTACTGTTTCCTAAAGGTTGACTGGCAGAGAGTTCTTTAAGCGATAAATCAGCCTTTTGTCCATATTTGCAAATGTGGAATTAAAGTTGAAATACATTAAAACCTTAGAATCATTCTGAGATTAAAACCTTAATTTACATGAATGATAACCTATATTGCATGCTTGTACTCAAACTGTTTTTGAAGCTTAAAAGGCCTAGAATGCAGCAGCTGCAAATTTTCCTGAGCAGAGCAGGTAGAAAAAGTTACATTGACGTTACAACGCACGAACTTTTTAAATCTGACCAGTAATTTTTTAGGGTTTCGTAGTCCTGACAAGGAACCCTTATAGTTTCGTTATGTCCGTCTGTCTGTTCCCGGTTTTGCTTAGAGACTTTTAGCATTAGAGAGCTGTAATTTTGTGGAGATATGTGTATTGATCACGCCGACCAAATGGTATAATAAAATTTTGTAACATATTTTTTAGGGTAGCTTCCCTTACATGTAACCTGGGGATGATTTTTTTTAACCTATTCAACGATATCCCTCCTGTGGGATATCGTTGAATAGGTCCTTTATAATTACTTAGGAGTTTCTAAGATCATTTTTCGATTAAAGGATCCGATTGCGAAATATTAAACTTTAAAGTGCTAATTTTTGCTCGAGTAGGGTGCCCCCCCCCCCCCCTCTAAAAGCTACACTATTGGCTTGAAAAACCTGGAAAAATGCATTATATAATAGTGCTTTTCAAGAAATTTTAAGGAAACGCACGACACACACTTGGCCTGTTTTTAGTTTATTCATGACAATATAGGGTGGGTATAATTGACCATGTATGGGTAATTGACCAACTTTGAATTTACGCGCCAATATTAAGTTTTCTATTTGACGGATCGTTATCTATGGTCTTCTAAATTTTGTTAGCACTATTGAATGAATGACCAATCGCGTTCAAGGACAGCTATAGTGATAGCGACTTTTAAATTGTGTGAGTTTTGTGAGAGAAGCGCCAAAGGTTTGAAGGCCATTTATTTTTTGCCTGCAGTAAGGTGCTCACGTCAAGTATGTTTTTTAAATTCACACATAGCTGTGTTCAATGTTTATGCTATCAGCAAAATTTATATTTAAACTGAAGAAAAATGAGTGTAGTAATATATTTTGTTTTTCTTAACCGACCTGTAACTAATAATTGACCAGATGGTCAATTACTGGAGCACTTAATATTATTTCAGCTCTAGTGTTTGACCAAACTTAACTTTAGAATGAAGGGTGTAGTTTCACATAAATGTTCAATAGCTTTAAAGCTTATCAGATGAAAATTTCTTTTTCGGATACTTGGTACCAATGTAAAATGCCATCAAAAAAATATTTTTCAAGTATAGCGAAGAAAACTTGGATCTCGCGATCCAGGAAATTGGAGATGGGGAAAAAATAAGAGAAACTGCCCGAAAACATAGGATACCACATAGCAAGTAGTGCCTATCTCAATTAAACTAAGCTTCGAATAAGGTAAGTAAATTAATATGCGTTTTATTGGTAGGTAAAACGCTCCTATTAATTGGACTTGACCGTTATTCAAAGCTTAGTTTAATTGAGATGTATTTGTTTTCGCCTGGTGGTGGAGACGCTAATGTGATAAAAATAAATTAGTAAATAGAAAAAAATCCATTTTTTTCTATTAAAAACTTTCTTTAGATTGAAACATCTAGCAGTTAAATGCTTAAAAAAAATAAAAACATAATAAAATAAATTAGTAAAGTTATTACATAAATCAAATATTTATCCATTCACTTAATAACAGTTGGCCGATGGTCCATCTAATTCGGAGGCGGTCGCCTCCTTCTGCGAGCAGATAATGTTACAGAGGGAGGCCGCGGAAAGGGCTCGAGAGGAGAATCCCTCAGCAGACCCAATCCGCAAGCGAAGAGTCGGGCGGCGGAGGCGCCAATATGCCGCTCTCCAACCGCCGAGTCGGGGCGGTGGGTGCTAGAATGGGGCTCTAGCATCCACCATCATCACCATTCCGCCCTGGCGCTGAGGAGTTGCCCATGAGTACTCGATGGGCAACTTCTTTTGCCGTGGAGGCCTGCGAGGCCAAGTGCTGTCCGCTGTGTGAACGCCTGCGCTATTGCGCTTTCTCGTGCAGTAGATAATAAGCACATGAAGAGTACAGTAGGTTTTAGTGGGTAATCAGAACCTCTGGAGTCCCACATAATCCAGGAACGGCCCCATATCGTCACTGGGTATGCATAAAGCATTTCCTACTATAAAAAAAAATGTTCCATCTAATTCAAACTTAAGTACATTTGTGATATCAGTTTATATTCTACCATAAAAATCGTAATTTTAGATATAACGTAACTCAGTAACTCAAACTGCAAACATTAAAATAGAAGAAATTACAATATTTATTACTTTGTATGTTGTTCGAATGCCTGCTTTATTCATCAACTGGGGTAAACAATCTACTCATAGATGAGGAGGCTGAAGGATTAGACTGCAATATCTCTTTCCTATAATATTTGCAAGAGGTATTTTCTGCTCACCAACTGCCTCTTGCAAGTACACGCATCAAAAAAAGATTGCGATCACTTTGAAAAATAGATTGTTTTTTGTAATACAATAAAATAATTCAATTATTTTTCCATATAAAAAGACATGCAATCCAAGCTGAAACTCATTCAGAAATCTGACTTAGTCAATATTATCGAATTTATATATTTTTTTAAGGAAAGTTGTAATTAAAAAAATGCCACGAGGATTATCAGATGTTTTACGAACCAGAATTGTAACTTTGAGGGAAGAAGCCTATTCTAAGAGAGAAATAGCACGCAGAGTTGCCATATCCCAATCCTGTGTAGTAACCACGTTGCAGAGGTACCACGGCATGGGTAATTTAGCTGATCGACCCCGCAGCGGTCGCGCAACTGTTTTGACAGCTGCTCAGAAGCGCTACATCAAGTTGCTGGTAGCCCGCGACCCAACAATAAACGCCACTAAATTAAAAGCAGAAATACGGCCCCCTCTGGACTTGGAAGTTAGCACTCAGACCATTCGGGATTGCTTACACAAGGCTGGATTACGAGCACGGAGGTCTTGGCGAGCACCTTTGAATTCACGGGAACGTCAGCGATGGAGATTACAGTGGGTTAGGCTCCGGCAAAACGAAGAAGACGAAGAGGAAAACATTTGGCAAAACTGCCTCTTAGTTGACGAATCGCGAATCAGTACTCATCCAGATAACCGACGTGTCCGTGTTTGGAGAAGACCTGGAGACTCTGAAAGGCAAAGAACGGCCACTGGAACGGTTCAGCAAGGCGGGAAATCAGTGTCCTTTTGGGGTGGTATTATAGAACGCCTTTAATCCCTTATCAAGGCTTCATGACGGCAGACAGATACAGAACAGTCGCTAATGATGGAATCATCAGACCTTTCCGAGTAAACCATGGTCACCAATTTGTACTAGTTGTCGATAATGCGGCCGCACATCGAGCTCAACGAGTTGGAAGCCAATGCAGAGCGTAAGCTTCCCGGTGCTGCTAAAATTCCTTCATCTTTTAGGATAGTTTTTATCCACCCAGAAATTAATGCCCTAGATGCAGGTCCAGCTTCACCTTGAAAATTCATAAATAAATTAGATTTCTTTGCATTACGCCTACGACTTTCCATAAGAGATATTGTTTGTTTGATGCAATAAACAGGGTCAAGATTCTTATCACTATTATTGGTTTACAGTTTCCAACCTGAATGTCGGTGCTTTGACGAATCAGTTTTTGAAACAAAAATTATCCAAAACAACACACAATGTGGAGCAAAGTTAAATCATGAATCTTTGGCCCCGAACAAAGAAGCAAGATGGCTGCTGTGTGCCTTTGTACCTGAAAATAGTTCGTCCAATCAATTCTATATCTTTTTATTAAATAAGTTGTAAGAGTATCTACGTTCAATATCAGAGATTTTTTAACAATTTGTCTTTGAGACAAAATCGATTTTAAGATATGTTTAACCATGAACTGAACTGGTTTCACCAAATTTATTTGGGTGGCAAAGTGAAGATACAACTGAATTAGGTAGTTATATAGAAATATATGACAAATTGTGAATTAAATGCAAATCTGATAAAAAACGAGCAACACAGCTCCTATTAGGATTAGTGGGCTCAATTTTTTGCTAACGGGACCAACAAAACCACTTATTCCATGCGCTATTGTAAGCCTTTCTTGTAGAAGGTCGCCAAGCCTTTTGAAGAAGCTCTAATTGATTTGAGTTCCAGCCTGTTCATTTATTTGGCCACCCCCACATCTCCAGACCTCCAGAATCATGTCTTTCACATTCGGTGGAGGCAGGTTCGTGGAGGTGTCGATCCCGACTTGGTCCAGGTGGTGAAGAGTGAATGGTGGAGCTAATGCTCGTGCCTTGAGGTTCCCCCGCAAAAATATCCTGTCCCAGCGAGGTGCTACCAGTATGAAGACCCCTTGAGCTTGGTTCAGGTGACTCAATATCTTCGGAATTAGATATGGAGGTGCAAACACCCATGCTAGTGAATAATTCCAATGCTGAGAAAAAGCGTCGTGAAATAACGTCTGATTGTCGGTCAGGTCCAAGGTGACGTAGTTCGACACTACGTGTGCTCGACTGGATGCGAACAGGTCTAATACTGGCGTTCCCCACTTCGAAAATACATTTTCGGTGCTAAGTGGTAGTAAATGCGAGAC